TAGAATTATTTAATTTTTGCCGACGTTTCGACCCACTTTGTAGGTCTTCATCAGGGCTACAAAAGATATATTTACTGTCACCATGCTTGTATCCTTGTAGCCCTGATGAAGACCTACAAAGTGGGTCGAAACGTCGGCAAAATTAAATAATTCTACTTATTTAATTTAGTATTAATTTGACCGTACCCCCCGATCAACTCCTTCTCATATAAGTATTATCGTTTCCTTTAATAATATGTTCCTACAGCTAATATTTATCTTTTCCTATGTAATCTTTTTGTGTATTTCTTTTTTAACCTGCTGTTTTATTATGTAAATAGGTTTTTAGTTTTGATTTCTCTTTTAATCCCAGCTCTGATATAATGTTAGTCTTTATATACTGATGGGTCTCAATTAATGTTTAATTTGTGTGTCAAACACTGGTATTTTATAATGGTATCGAGATGGTTGACCGTAGATTTTAATTTTGACTCAAATCGCTGTACTGCTACCTACAGTGCCAGATGGAATGCCCTGAAGAAGTCCTACAACATAGGTCAAAACGTTGGACAAGAAATTCACTATTATATAATATAATATTTTATATATTTACTGTACCCCCGACTAACTTCTTCAAAACAAAAAAAAAAAAAATAAATAATAAAAGAAACTGGTATTTTATCAGTTTTGAAGGTATCATTTACTGGCCTATAAAGAAAAGATATATAATTAATATAATTTACTTAGATTCAAATTACTTTTGAGAAATTATTATGACATTCTGAAAAAGAATAAGGATTTTATATTGAAAATGTTACTGTATATCTTAAAGTTGCCAGGAAGTAATATTAATGGAACAAATAAAAATACAGTATTTTTTTTTCTTTCTTAAAGGTGTTCAATACTGATACCTTTGCCCTAATATTATTTCTATTAGCTGAACCTTCAATGCATATTTTTTATAAGGTTCATTATATTTTGCATGTTTTTTTCTCATGTCTGGATAAGCTCTTTTAAGTTTTTGTGTTATGTAAGATTAGTTCTTACTCTTAGTCATCTATCAAGTTTATTTCAGAGATTACCTATCAAAAAGATCAAGACAATGATCTGGTAATCTTAAACTGAAATTTTGAATCATTGAGGAAACCATAATAGTTATTTTGTCAACTGTGTTCTATGCTTTTAATAAACCTTCCCTAAATGCAGAATTGTGCATAAAAGAAAGATGAAATGGTTTTGGCATTCAGATATCCAAAACCATGAAAAATGTGCTAAGCTGAATGATATAGAAATCCAATTTGTAGTTCTGGCTTAAATTTAAAGATTCATAATTAGACTGAATTTAATCTAATGGAAACTTACAGGAGGTGAGAAGATATGGACATAATATATGAAGGATTATGTTAACCTTCTTTATTAAAAGGCAATTATTCAATAAACAATCATTCAACAATTCAACAATTATTCAATCAACAATCATAGGCAATAAACAATCATTCAAATAAGAAGAAGTAATACACATTTTTTTCTAAAGGCAGTTTCTTCTCCAGGGTTGGCTATAAATGTAACAACACCAGGGGTAAAGATAATTTTTTTTTTTTAAGTTAATAATTGTCAACTTATTATTTTTTTTAAGGAAGATCAGTGATTATTTATGTAAATGCTGCTAAACAAAATTTTGTATGAACATTTTAAATATTCTTTTTTTTAATGAACAAATCATTTTGGTTAAAAATTACTGTTTTAGAAAAATACATAGTCAAATAGTTTTTATTTAATTATATGAAATTGGCTTTGTTTGCCTCGGCCTAAGCAAGTTATTTGTTTGTTACTAATACATATAACCTGGGTGGTGACTTTATTTTATACTTATAATAAAGTTAAAAATTTCAGTTTTTTATGATACAGTTCGTTGTAACTACTTCTTGATGAGCTTGAATTTAGAAAATTTTACTCTTTGATATGCTGAAAACTCTTTTTACAGCTCTTGTCTATCAAGGTCTGAGTTATTTTCATTTGTAGAATAACACTTAACTCCTGGTACTTTGATAAAAAAAAAAAAAGGTGACATTCATGACTAATTCTGGATCTTCTTGCTATTGGAAATAAGTGGAAAATATGTATAAAAATCAATAAGATTTAAATTTTGTTTTATGATATTCTATTGACATTATATTTAAATTTCTGAGCTGCGAATTGACATAAGCCCATAAATATTTAATGGCATTCAAATCTGGACTCTGGAGAGTAGTTTAATGCTCATTTGGATAATTATACAGTAACCATTGCTGTGGAGTAGTGGCTAAGGACTACTACAGTCACGATCATAAAAATTGCAACACCTATTTCTTTTGATTCTTGAAATGAAAAAATAATTTTACTCTGGGACTACAGTCTCCTAAGAATAATAACAGAGTTACATTTTTATGAGTCTTAGTCTGGCTTAGATGAATACAAAATGATGCCTAATTAACTGCTGATTATTTTTGCAATTGTGCAGTTGATTTAATTAAGTAGTATAGAGACGCAAGTAAATTTTACATGTTTGGGGAAGTTCGAATATGGAGTAGGTGGTGGAACAGGAGTTGTTTGAAGGAATTTGTGGAAGAGGATTTGCGTATTGAGGTAGATAGAGAGTTCCAAAAGAAGGTAGCACGAATGATGAAGGGTTTGCTGAAGGAAGTAGTTTTATGGGAGGGAATATATAAATTTATAGGTTGAGACCTGGTATTGAGAGAGTGGATTGAGGAACGTAGAGTAAGAAGTTCCAGGATGTAGGGAAGCTTTTTGGTTCTGAGGACTTGGAAAAGGAAAACAACAAGGAGGAATTGTCACTGGAAGTAGGATAAAGCTACTTCAACTCGGTGTAATAGAATGAAACATGAGAATGATTGGGGATCCCAAAGATGTATCTTATGAAAACGTTCATGAGTTTCTTTAATCTCATTTCTAACCTGGCAGATAGCCCTCCATAGACCAAGCAGCCATAGTCGAAGTGGGAGAATATAAGGGAGGTTACAAGGAGCTGTCTGGTTTTTAGAGGAATACAATCACGGAATCTTAGGAGTTATTTAAGAACATTTATGGATTTTCAGGTAATCTGGAAGAAATGGTTATTCCAGGAGAGGTTCTGGTCAAATGTTGCTCCTAGGTTTTTTACTGTAGGGAAAAATGGATGGGGCGGTTCTTGAGGTAAAGTAGAGGAAAATAAGGAAGTCAACTAATGAGATGTCTGGACCCGATGAGAATATCCTTAGTTTTATCTGCATTCAGCTTTAACTAATTTATTTCTGCCCATCTGTTGATACAGTAAATATCCTATTGTAGCTTTTGGGTAGCCTCAGTCATCTCAAAAGATTGAAATGATTGGTAAATTTGGAAATCATCAGCATATAGGTGGTAACAGGAATTTTGAATGGGGTCAGGAAGATCACTAATATAAATAGAGAAAAGGGTCGGAGAGAGTGAGGAACCCTGAGGAACATCTTGTGTTAATTGGAGGGGAGACGATGAAGGTTTGCTTGGAATTACAACTGTTTGCGATCGATTGGATAAGAAGGAAAGGAACCATTTTAGCATGCTATTTGATATGGGCAGGCTTTGGAGTTTGGAATGGAGGATGGATCTCATGATTGAGGGAATCAAACAATTTGTAAAAGTCAGTAAGGATTAGGATAGAGATTTTCTATTTGTCTATGACGGATTGCAGGTCTTGGGCAATCTTTAGCAAAGCAGACTGTGTGGAATAATGGGAACGGAAACCAGATTGAAAGGAGTGAGGAGAAGATTTTGTTTGAGAAAGCTGTTCAACTGAGAGTGGACTAATCTTTCTAGAGGCTTGGATAGATTTGATAAAATGGAAATGGGTCGGAAATTGGAAGCTGGTGAAGGAGTAGGAACTTCGTTCAATAGGTGGACTATAGTTCTTTTCCAGGATTTGGGGAAAATGGAATTTTGGAGAGAGAAATTATACATGTGTAGAAGAATGGGAAGTAAGGCTGGAAGGCAGAGTTTGATAACTTTCACTAATATTTGGTCAGTACCATAATCGTTCGTTTTGGATTTAAGGGTGGCAGAGAGTAGGTCAGTAGGAGAAATATTGAGAAAATAAAACTTATCAGGATTGAAAGGGGGTTCGGTGATGGAAAAAGAATGAGTGGTCAAAAGAAAATGTGGATGGAAAATGGTAAGTGAAAAAGGAATTTAGCTTGTTTGGATCAACTGGATATTGTGTGTAGGTTTTCGAGCTGACAATAGATTCTTGTATTAATAACGTTGATTCCATTGAATGTTTTGGTTTTTCTTTACTTATTTAGGTTACAAGAAAATTTTAACAATGTTTCTCAGTTAAGTTTTAAGTAATGCAAGGATAAAAGCTGTAATTATCACAAGTTTCAAAAAAGTGTTCTCGTCAGAAAATATTAAAATTGTGATGTTACATGAAGTAAACGAATTTTCATAGGAAATAGTAATGAGGATAAGGTACCACCAATCAATGGTAGTGATAGTATTGAAAAAAAAAAATATCATGGAGCAAAAGAAAGGAACTGGCAGGAGAAAAAAACAAGTGAATATTTAGACCACTCAATGGTGCGATTGTTTTTATAATATCGCTTCAAAAGTGGCAAAGAAATATCCTTGCAAATAACAATACAGTAAACAAAAATAAACTTTTTACTGGTTGAAAATTTCAATGTTCTTTCTACACTAATTTAGGCAGCATTAGTCTTTACAGCCATTGCTGTACAGTGCACTTAACACTTAGTACATAATTCAGTTTACTTTCTTCAACCACATTCAATAGTTTTATAATAACAATGTTATATTCAACAAGTCATTTATCTACAATACTGTTTCATATGTTGATTATTTAATTTATATTTCATTAAGCAAAAGATACAATCTTTTGTAATAAATGGAAATGTAATCTAATCAATAAAGCTAGCAAAATTAAAAAAATAAAAAGCTGATATCTGATATAATTTGTTAAGATATTACATCACATTAATAATTTAATACAATGCTTGGTTACCTGTTATAGTTACTTTGGCAATTGATTCTGATGTTCCTCCAGAATTTGATGCTATGATTTTATATGTACCGTCGTGCTCATTGGTACAGTTAGTGATACTGAGAATGGCAATTTGGCCATCAAATCTTATATCAACATTTTCTGTGGTAGTGATAGTCTTGTTGTTTCTACAAAATAGAAGGTATAATGTAAAATTTATAAAATACACTGGAGTGGGTACTTAAAATTTGTACATTGTGTGTCTCCATGTGGCAGATAGGCAAGTACAGGTTTGAAACAGAGTGACTTTTCCCATTTAATTATTTTATAATTCAATATCATTAGAAAGATAATTTGTACCAGAAAAGGTTGAATGATGAATGATATTATGTCTGTGGTTGGATTGGCTGATGATTTGCTCATGCTAGATTTAGATGCAGAAACTATTAAGTTAATTACAATGACTGCAGCTCACTCAAATTTCATTGAAATACGAATGAAACATAATATAAAATAAGTAACAAAATGAGAGATTATTTCAGAAACATTGATAATAGGTGGAATATGTTGAAAAGCTTATTTACTTGGGTGCAAAAATATTTAAGAAGAAACAAAAGGAAAGTAATTATTTTCATATCTGTTTCACAAAATTATACAAATTTACATTTAATATCTAGAAACATCAAAATCAAAATTGAAATGGTAATGGATATATTATAAATAATATCACTGAACTGATTGTTAAAGATTCTAGGTGTAGAAAATAAAAGGATTGTTAGAATTGGTCTTATGTCTTTGATTTTTTCTGAATTTCAGGAAATGGAGATATGTAGGTAATAAACACACAAACACACAAAATGATACTCATAAAATATCTTAAATTTAATACCTTGTCCAAATTATTTTGAGAGTTTTATCAATAGACGCGAATTTACAAGTCAGTTTCATCGATTGTCCTTCTACTGCAGTCTACGATAACATAAAAAAAAAATTTAACACATGAGTATAAAATAATGAAAAAATATATAATAAAATAGTTTTGTATGCATATACCACATCAGTCAGTCCTTGAGAAATAACTGGAGCTTCAATTGTTGGTGGTAATATAACATCTATAATACTTGATGTTGCTTCTCCTTTCTCATTTCTAGCTACTAGTTTATAGGCTCCTTTGTCATTAGGTGTACATGGATTTATTTCTAATTTGATTGCATATTCACCCTAAAAATTCATGTGTGTAATTTTTTAAGTATTTATATAAAGTTATGATACCACAAAACAAGAATAATTACAACTCCAAAGAAGATATTGTTAATAATACTGTAAAAAATAAAAGAGATTATTATGTATTGAGTTTTAAATAGGTTAAACCAATAGCCATATATTTACTTTCATTCTAATAGAAGGGAAACATCTATAGAAGTGAAACATAGTACTCTACTGGATACCACGGAACTGTGGACTACATGGAAATGAAATAGTCAACCAACTAGCAAAGGAAGGGGCTGCATCCTCTCAAACAAACTGCACTAAAACTCTTCAGGAGGTTATTTCTACAAATAAAGCTGCTGTATGAAAAAGGTGGAATGATGCCCAACCAAATTATAATCCTGAAGATGATTATTATAAAATGAGCCAAAAAGAACAAGTTTTACTCATTAGACTCAGAACAGTCACAATAGGTCGAGGGCAAACCTTCATGGGAAATTTAAAATTAGAGAAAGTCCTCTCTGTAGTTGTAGAACAGGTTACCAAAATACAGAAATATCCTTTAGACATGCCATGAGCTGGTGGACATCAGGAAGACAATTTGGTCAAACCCTACTGACTTGGTGATGAAGCTGTATGTTGGTCTGGGTGATCTCACGAAGTCCATCGAGTTTATACTCTTAATCCCGGACCTCATCCTTTGAGGGAAGTTTAAAGAAGAAGAAACATCTAATCATATTAGGAACTATTCTTAATAATGAATGAAGACAGTGCTAAGTTAAATACAACATTAAAATATCCAAGAATAATTGTTAATTAATTAAATATTAAACAACATAATAAAAGTAAGATAACTAATAAGGGGAGGTTACGGACGAGGGGTCATCGATTTTAATGAAACTTTTTATGGTAATACTATGTCAAAAAATATCAGAACCATGTCCAAGGGTTCTTGCCTATGGGCTCTAGGAGTCGAGAAAAAATTTGTTTATGGAATTTTATTATTTTTTTATATTACTGTTTTTTGACTTTGCTGTGCATAAATTTTTAAGCTATTATTTATCAATTGATTTTCTTTTTGAGTAAAATAAGAAAAACATTGCCAATTGATAAATATCCTCACTTATGGAAGCGAATCCTGGGCCCTGAAGGAACGGTATCGCAGCCGCCTCCAAATCATTGAAATGAGGTGTTTTAGGAAAATAGAGGGAAAGACCAAGAGAGACCGGGTAGTAACACAACGATACGGACTACACTAAAAATTGAACCCCTGAACCAGATAATAGAGAAAGGGCAGCTTCGATGGTTCGGCCATGTAATGAGGATGGATGACCACCATTGAGTAAAGAAAATTATGGAGGCTAAACCAGCAGGAAAACGACCTAGAGGAAGAACAAAAATTACTTGGGGAGATAATCTCAAGTAATTCTTAAATACAGAGGAATTGGATGGCTGGAAGCCAGGAGAGCAGCCCTCGACAGAGACGGAGGGAAATCCTTGAACAAAAATCTCTACACTAAAAGGTAGAAGAGAATATTGAATAATAATAAGAAGAAGAAGTCTTTATAGTTGGCTGTATCGTCGGTTAAGTTCCTGTCCACGTTACTCATCTATCTAAGAGAAAGCTAAGATACCGGAATGTGTCTGAGAAAGGAAGCTGGATGGAGTTAAAATAAACTGGTGGACTGGATTTACGATGTGAAGGTAATGTGTTTGCATTTCGATTCGTTTACCTCAATGCGCCATTTCTTACACCAGTGTTCAATCAGGGAGAGGTGCATTTGTAGGTTTAAGGACGCTGTTTTAGGATCTGAGTTGGTTGAAAGGATAGTGGTGTCATCAGCGAATGTTGCCAGGAGGGTATCAGGATGGGATGGGCAGGGATATCTAAGGTAAAAAGAATGTAAAGGATGGGACCCAAGACGCTGCCCTACGGAGCTCCCACCTCAATTGGATAACAGTCGGAGAATTCAGTATTACAGCGAATATGGAAGGATCCATGAAATTAACTCCAAAAATTTACATTTTTTTAATTTTCAAAACAAACTTGTATTAATAATTCATGCAGAGAAAAGTCAGAAAACAGTAAAATTTTATAAAAAAATCATTTTTCTCAGCCCTAACTGAGAACCTTCGGACTTGTTTAACATTTTTCAACTTAGTATCGCCAAAAATGAAATATGTGAAAGGTTATAAATAATTTTCATTCTTTTGACTTTCTGATGGGATGTTCCCCACAAAGTCAACAAAAGATATTACTAAAATAATAAAAGAAATTTTAAAGGAAGTTAAATTTGCATAATATAATTATTGAAAATAGCAACTTCCGAGCTAAATAAAACTAAGAAGAAAAAAATATTTAATATTTTCAAAGTACACTAACAAATATTTAATAAATTTAGATATGACACAAAATATTCAAGTTTATTTTACAAGAAAGATGTCAAAAGTTTTTTATCAAATTTAAATTACTATTTTTACAGACTTCCTTAATAAGTCAGTTAAGGAGAATGAGTAAAAAACATTATTTAATAGAAATGTTTAAAAAAATTCATGCCTTCCAAAAAAATGTATATATTACTAGCCATTTTTTTGTTAAACAGTAAAAAAGATATATATTTGTAAATAATAGTATCTTTTTTGATCATACTAAAAATACTGTCACATGAAATTAAAAAAATAAGATAATCATTCTAGAAAAGCAAATAAGAGTGCACTAAATATTATTAAAAAAAATTTACAATATTACTAAAAATTGTTACTCTATTATTAAAGTTCATTAATGGTAACAACTTCAAACATGGTAATAGTCTAAATCAATTACAATTATAATTAAAAGTAATATATATATATTTTACTTCTTTCACATGACGTATTTCAACTTTATGTTTAGAATCTTCTTTTATCTTAGAAGCTCCTTTGAACCAAGTACATTTAGGTTCAAATACTGATTGAACTTTCGCTTCAATAACAACAGTATTAGTCTTAGTAATAGTAACAGTCTTTGGCACTTCTTTTATTACTGGAATGACTGTAACAAGAAAATTAAGAAGGGTTATTAAATAATTAAAATCAATCGAAATTTAAAAATATAGTTTATTGAATAAACTTAATTTATTGTCATTAATGACATATAATATAAAAATTAGTTATTCCACATAGCTATTTCACCTAAAATTCAATAACAAAACATAAATTCTGACCTTGAGCTAATAAGGTTAATCATACTTAATTTTTGGTTGTCTTAGTTATACAGATAGTTAGTGTTATAAAGTTGAAATGAAATGTGACTAATATTCTCACCTACTATATATCATTATTTTCAATAGAATATTAAAAGTCAAACATCAATAAAAAAATTTAATAATCACATATCATGGGTGATAAATATTCAGGACGCAGTCTTTTTTTAAATTTTTTTTATTTTTGCCAACGTTTCAACCCAAACATGTGGATCATCTTCAGGGCTGAAAATGTTTTTTTTAAATTACAATCAGAGATATAATAGTATACGACCGCTAATTATAAATAATAAACTATAGTGATTGATGGCACATGAATCTTAACTAATATTGTAATACACATATTAAAATAGTTATACAAACTAAAAATAAAAAATAATGTATATAAATGGATTATATACATTATTTTTTATTTTTTAGTTTGTATAACTATTTTAATATGTTTATTACAATATTAGTTAAGATTCATGTGCCATCAATCACTATAGTTTATTATTTATAATTAGCGGTCGTATACTATTATATCTCTGATTGTAATTTAAAAAAAACATTTTCAGCCCTGAAGATGACCCACATGTTTGGGTTGAAACGTTGGCAAAAATAAAAAAAAATTTAAAAAAGACTATGTCCTGAATATTTATCACCCATGATATGTAGAACAGTCGACTAACTTCCTTCAAGTAATAATCACATACTAATTTTGTGGAAAGTTAATTCCCAACATTTCCCATAAAGTTATGGTAATAATAAGATTTATTTTCATTTTAGAAATAAAAATAACAATTCAAGTTTTAATATTAAGATAAAATGTTTATAGTTTCATTTTAATATTCATTTCTCATTTTTTTAAAAATTATTTTTCTATTTTTTTATATTTTCTGACCAAATTATTTGTTAATTACATTGAAGTAATCAAATAGGAAATAACTTTCTTTTTTTTTACTTATTTCATGGTAAAACTTACTTTCAATGTTGAGAGTCAGATTGGCATTCAGTTCTCCACAAACATTCTTTATATTACATTTGTAAATACCAGAATCTTGAATTCCAGGATCCTAGTAAATAATAATTATTTTAGAAAAGAAAAAAAAATGAATTAAATAAGTATGTATATATAAAATATTTAAAGATGAGAGGTATACCTCAAAACACACAAGAAAGTTTGTATTTGCTACAGTCAAATTCAACACTGAATACTGCCAAATTATAGTTTTGTTTTTAGTTAAATAGGAAGCAATAATTAAATAACAATTAAATTTAGGCAATTATCAATAGCAGCATATGTTAAGTTATCATTTTGAAAAATTCTAAACTGCAAAACCTTGTCTCCAAAACGCAGGCAAGGAAAAACAAACCCATCAAGTTTCACCAATTCAGACATCATCAAGACAGCAAAGAAGCAAAGTATTGATATTTACAGCAAACAGCAAAGAAGCAATATTTTCTGTCCTGATGATGCCTAGATTGGAGAAACTTCGATGGTTTTTTTTTTTTCTTTGACTGCATTTGGAGACATAAGGCTTTGCTATTTGGAATTTTTCCAAATTATTACATAACATTTATGTTATGTCACTTGATTAGTTTGTTACTAATTTATATTAATATCAGCATATAGACAAATTGTTTTTCAAGTTTGTCAATATGCTGATATTAATAAAAGTAAAATTTGTTTTTGTTAAAACCATTATATTGAAGCTTTTAAGCGGCTAAACTATATATGCTACATTTTGGTTTTCATAAAATCATGAATTATTAGCAATTTTTCTATCAGCCTCTTACTGGACAATACATTCCCCACTTTTAGAAAAACTTCCTTGTTTAATAAGCTTCAAGTCCATATTAGTTATGTTGCTGTTTGTTCCCTTAGAAAGTAGAGGATGATTAAATATTCATTGTAACATCGAAATGTAGCATTCATTAACAACAGAACATTAATACAAATTTAAGGCAAGAGTTTATTATTACTTAACATTTATGAAGAAAAAAACCTGCCATTTGCTTGAATTATTTAAAAATATATATAAATATTAAAATTAGTATTAGAAGGTAGGAACTAATGATAAATGAGATCTGTATAAAAAGTTCTGATACATTATCACTTCAAAAGATCGTTATTAAATATTTAATATTCAATTAGTTTCATATATTTTATGAATAAGAAGTGTATTTCACTAATTTAATGATTACAATAGTGCCCAAGTGATAGAAATTTTTTTTTTTTCAGATAGTTAACTGCATTATTTTTACTGGTTCATTGAAAAGACAGAGTTTTACATCACATAAGTTTTTACAATACTTGAAATGAATTTCAGCTTATTCAGTAACAAACCTCAACTTAACTGATATTAACTTAAAACTAATTAAAGAAGGGAGTTATTATGAAAGTGGAGAATCTGTAGTTCAGTAGAAGGCTGATAAAAAAAGTTACTAATTCATGATTTTATGAAAAACAAAACATAGCATAGTTTAACCGATTAAAATCCTCATTACACTGGTTTTAACAAAGCTAAATTTTACTTACTTAATTAATCCATCCTCATTTACCACTAAGCAGTGTAAGTTTTCAGTTTATTGAGCCTTGTTATATCAGTATATCTTGATTGTTTTCTTCCCATCCAATAAAATCCTCTAAGGTCAAAGGTTTCCTTTATTGCATTTTCCTAGGTTTTCTTTAGCCTCCCTCTAGGTCTTCTACCTCCCACCTGTGCCTCATGATTGAGCCTTGCTGATCTGCCTACTGGCATTTGAGACATGTCTGAACCCCTTTAGCTGGTGTTGTTCAATTTTTTGCATTGCATTCAGCAGACTCACGTTGGATCAGATAGTGATATTCCTCACTTGGTCTCTCCTTGTTTTACCTTGGACTCTACAGAGGTAGTGCATCTCCATCCTTTGGAATTTGCTCCTATGTTTACTAGTTAGGGTCCATAGATATTTTCGAATATTGTTATTTTTGTGGTTTTGGAGACCTCTTTCTTTCCCCAAAACTTTTCCGAATGGCATTAAGAAGTACCTCCCGGCTGCCTTAATCCTCTATGCCCCTTTTGCATCTCCATCCACGGAGACATTCTCATTCAAGTGGTATCCCAGGTATTTGAAATAGCTTATCTGCTCTATTTTGATTTCATCCATGCAAACACGCATAATTGTATTTTTGTCACGTTTAACTCCATACTAATTTCTCCTAGTCGATCCCTCAGGACCCACAGGTTAAACTGGAGATTCTTTCCATCGTCGCTAAAGACTACCAGGCCATCCACATAGGCCAACAGTAATGCACTGAGAAGGAAGCACTCTTCAAAAGCCAAACAGTGTTACCGCGCTCTCTGTGACAAATCCTGGTACCTCAAACCTCGTACGCTTGCTCATTGAAAATTCGTACTATTGTAGGCTCAATCTTATTGTTGTTTTTTTAAAAAAGTAAAATTAGATCAGAGGTTTGTTTATTACCTCTATTATTATATTTTAAATCGTTTTTACATTATTTTTATAATTTAATGGGTCAAGAAGTAAAATGAGTTTAATTTTAAGGCACGAAATTAAATGTATAAAAACGTGCATATGTTTTTAGAAACTATTGGAAAATATTCTTTAAAAATTAAGAAAATAGCGAAATAAACTTTAAAGGTTACAATATTCCTATCATTATTAAAAATAAAGGGAAAAAAACATTATTATGATTTCTTAGAAGTTCGAAACTAGGTAACATAATTTAAATTAATAAATATTAATTTTTTGTTCTTAAGCTCATATTTAATTTTTTTAATTACTTAGAACTATTTAAATGAATTATATGAAACTCGTAGCTGTATGAAGGAAATAGAGGATATACTTTTTTATATTTTAATTTATACTCCATATAAATCGAAAACATTTTTTTAAAAATTACAGTAACAATTTTTAAAAAAATTTGTTTTGTAGAAAATTAAAATAAACAGCAACATATATATATATATATACACCATCACGGTTTATTAACGAAATAATAATCATATTATAATTAAAGAAGATATAATTGTAATTTATTTGTCTATAAAGCAACAGAAGTTAAGTATTACATATTAATATACATAATAACTGTAAAAATAACTGTAAAACAAATCTAAACTTCATTCATAAAAATATAACTTTGCATACATCAGCAAAAATTATTTACGAGGTGCGAAGCTGATCGATCTTCGTACCTCGTACAATACGTCATCATCTCGTACAAATACTAGGATCCTCGTACGAACGGCAACACTGTAGCCAAAATGTAATAAAGATATGATTTCCTGTAAAATAGGACTCCCTTCCTTATTAGTCTTTCCCGTTTCCCCTGACAATTCAAATTTACAATTTATATCTGCTTCTTCTACCTCTTCTCTACCCTCGTCTTCCAACTTTGTTCCTGAATCATCATTCAATGATGATGACTTTAATTTTTCCGAAATTTTTCCTGCAGACCAATTAACTGCTGTAATGAAACCTCACACCAATTCCGTAGGAATAGATGGCATTCCTATCAAATTGATAAAATTATGTCTCCCTGAAATCCTCCCAGTTCTCCTTTTCATCTACAATTTCTCCCTACAGAATTCAATATTCCAACTTCTTATAAAAAGACATTGTCCTTCCGTTTAATAAGAAGTCTAAACCATCCTCTCTCAAAGATTTCCGCCTATAATAATCTCCACATTATCCGCCTTAATTAAAATTACTAATGATGTTCAGACTGCAATAGATAATAAACAATTAAATGTCCTTATACGTCTTGACTTGCCCAAAGTCATCTATTCCATTAACCATTCCATCCTTCTCAACAAACCAAAATTATTGTCTTTCTCCAATAGTTCCATCTCTTGGTTTCAATCTTTCCTTTCACAACGTACCAAAGCAGTCTCCATACCCAATAAACCACTATCTGCCTACCTTTCTTTATCCTCTGGAGTTGCCTAGGGATCAAGCGAATCTCATCTCCTTTTTAGCTCATATATTAACGACCTACACGACTCAATTCTTCATTGTTCCCACCACCTTTATGCAGAGGATTCTCAAATATATCTTTCCTTTTCTCCCTCTGAGTTATTGGTAGCATTTACCAAGACTCAAGAAGACCTAGATCGGATTAGTGTCTGAGCAAACTTAAACGGATTAAGATTAAATGCTGCAAAAACGTAGGTCCAAGTCATTGGTTCCAAGCACCTCCTCCCGATCCATTTCCAACTTTCCCACACTTTTCCTAAATGATCGACCCAAATCATTCTACTCCTCTGTTAAAAACTTAAGTTTTTTTATTGATCAAATCCTTTCCTTTCCTTCAATTTCCCATTTCCGCATCGCTCGATAATAAATTTCCACTTTCAAATTATTTCATCGCTTCCGTCATCTTCTAGCAGAACCTACACGGAGATTCTTAGTTGCTTCTATCATCTTTCTCCACTTTGACTACGGCTGAGTGGTGTACGGTGGTCTCTCAGAGGGTCTCGAGAGGGGGTTACAGACTGAGGAGACTTATGGGTAGCTTTGTCCGATTTGTCAAACCTCTACGCCAAGTTAAAGTGGCTCTTCCCTTCCTTCCATAGACAATATTTCCTAGACACATTCCTCTGTCAATTTAGTTGCCTCTTTTCCAATACAAGTTCTTGTCCACTTTCTCACTTCAAGATCACGATCTTCTGAGCTTCATACACCTTTTCACAGATCTACCTCTTTTCAAAAATCTGCTTCGTTGTCCGCTCTGCTTCTTTCTGGAATTTCTTACCTTTAAAAATCCGGCATGCTCCGACCCCATCCACCTTTCCACATTTAAAACCCTCCTATTCCAATTTCAATTCTCCCAACAGACTTATGATCTTATATGTGTATATTGGGATCTTATACTTCAGCAAACGCTTTGTTTAGAAGATATTCACACCTATAGATTTTCATTGTTATGAATTATTTATGTTATGATAAATGAATAAAACTTACTTATTTGTTCCAACTACTTTATTTATTAAACGTGAATATTAAATTCATATTAAATGTTGTTCAAAGTGATTTTCCAGAGCATTAAGACAGACTCGGCATCTTTCTTCAACAGCAGCAGTGGCAGAACGGCGAACTAAAGATTCGGGTCATGAATATGATAAGAATATTTTCAGAAAATGACAACATTTTAAGAAATTTTTTAAATGCCTGTAACTGTAGACTGGTTGGAGGTTAATTTGTATAGGCATATATATTTTAATAGGAAATTTAAGTCTCTACAACTTCCTTTAAATTAATTTCTTTCTCTGATGAATATCTTAGACGATATGAAGGAATGATTGATGAAAAATGTCAAGCAAAATGATTTTTTTCGGAAGTGTCATTTTTTTCCAAGCGTATAGCTCGAAACGGTTCAGAACTCGGATAAAACCTATGGTTTATAAGTTATAGACAATTTTATAAACTTTAATTTTCTATATGAAAAATTTCCCCTGCGATGCACCGTTTTTGAGATATAAGCAAAAATTGTGACTTTTACTCCCCCACCCCTCCCCTGCTCATCACCTAAACGTCGGGATTTTTTATTTGTTCATACCCTAAACACCCTGAACAATCTGGATAATACGAAGGGATCGCTTAGGTCTATGCTCACTCACCCTACACCCCCTTTTTGGACATTCATTGACTGGACTGAAGTCAGTGGCGGATCCAGGAATTTTCTCAGGGGGAGGGGGCGCACCTCTGTACCACATGCTTCCCCCACCTCTACCAGTTCCCCCCACCAGTATCCATCTCCCCGCACTCCGTGGCTGATTTTAGTCGCTCAAAAGTCCTCATTAAATGGTTTTAACAAAAGCAAACACTATTTTTATTTAAAGTAAATTTTGTCTAGTTTACAGTGAAGCTATCATTAATTATTTAAATTAAATATTTTTTTTTTTTGTTATCACTTCCTATTCAACAAAAAATGTGGCTTACTTAAGAAATCACAAACCTTTAATTCCCTACTTCCCTGCTAAAAATCAAACCATTGTTTATATAAACTTTTTTTTATTTATTGCGTTTTGCTATCTCTCCTTTAAATATTTCCTTCTGTTTACGAGACACCCTGTGGGTTTATATATGAGTTTAGACATGTAAAAAACTGAATTTCTAACACGGGTCACGAAGAGAAAACTTTTTACAGCCAAAAATTCCAGATTTATCTAATTTTTTTTTCATGTGTTGCTACTAAACAGTGCATCAAAACTAAAAACGTAGTCTTTGAGATTTTTTTATTTTATTGAGTATTAATACAGTCTGCCACACTGAAGGGCATTGGTACTAGGGCTATAGTACTTTAAGAAATTAATTAAATTTTTTTTTATTTATTATTTTAATGGAATTTACAACTGTATTACATATAAAATAAAATAAGTAAATGTGAAATTGATAACATGACATGTACAACATGACATGTACAACATGAAGAGAAACTACCCATTGGTAGAACTCAAAAATTAAATTAAAGAAACGTTAAATTCTGCTTTTCAACTAGTACCTAAACTCACTAGCGGATCCAGGATTTAATTTTTTGAGGGGGGGACTTCAGCCAGAAAGCTTTTTCTTTCATAAAAAAAGAGGATAATTATTTTGGAAGAAAAGAAAGAAACTAACTATCTATATGAAATATTGTTTAAGTGATTCCTCAAGTCCTTTTAAATGTAATTACATGAAAAATAATACTTAAGGAGATAATTTTTTAATATATTTTTCCATAAAACATCGTTATATTTTACCATTTTTTTTGGGGGGGGGAGCTTCATTCCGAAAGCCACCTCCCCCATAGATCCGCCCGTGCCTAAACTTAACGAGTTGATTAAGCGATATGGTCGATAATCACGGTCAATGAAAGCTAATTTTTACCGATATTGTCAAAGTTTGAGAAAGATTACTATAAATGGTCCTGCAGCTTGGAAATGAGTTCTTTAAGAAGAAAAAAAAATTCAGAATAATTTCCGATTCCGATCAAATTGGAGAGCAAATAATTAGTACATTCCTAAATGAAAACGAAAGCCCAACAGCAGCTATTTTAATAAAAGAACAACACTTTCTAATGAGAAATATACTAATTATTATCTTGACTAGTTTTATGAATCACATGGATTGTTCAAGGAGACTATAGTTGCTAAAGGTTGCAATGCGTTCAGATCTATTGGAACTTAGTAAAATTGGAAGAAATCCCGTATTTACTTGTGCTCGAATAAAAGGTGGTTCGAAAGAATAAATAACGTTTTTTTTGTTTTTTTTAAAATAAATTTTCCTCCATCATGTATTTCACATGCGAGACCCAGTTCGGAGCCAATAGGAACAAACTGCGAAAGGAGCACAAGCCTTCGCATCTCACGGCGGTCCAAAAACTACATCACTCTTTTCTTTAAATAGGTATTTTTCTCGATCTTTTTTTTTCGAAATTATTTTTCTAACATCCAGAGAGGGGCGCCCACCTGGCAGAAATCACTAGTGCTGGTCACGATAATAACTTTTTTTTATATTACATTAGAAAATTCGTCCATGAGGGTGAATTTGTCCTATATTTTTCTTTTCTTTAAATAGGTGTTTTTTGGAATTTTTTTTCACTATCCATGGAAGTGCGCGTCCCCTGGCAGAATATATTTTTTTATTTCATAAGGAAATTCGTGTATGAGGATGAATTTTTTTCTATATTTCTCTTTTCTTTAAATAGGTGTTTTTTTTGTCACTTTTCTGAATTTTTACCACCATCTATGGGAGGGCGCGCCCCTTGGCAGAATTCGCTAGTGTTGGTCACGATAATAATATTTTTTTATTTCGTCTATGAGGATGAATTTTCCCTGTATTTCTCTTTTCTTTTAATAGCTGCTTTTTGAAACTTTTTTTGATGTTTTCCAGCCTCCGGGGGGGGGGGGGTGGAGGGAGGCGCCTAATTTGAACCTTTTTATTTCTTCTTTTTATGTTTAGTGAAAATATATTTTTTGTTTATCATTAATTTTCGATATTACTATCTTATACCGGTATTTCACATATTAGTCAGTGACAAATTTATTAGTAACCACCAGGGGTGCCCATTCTCTCTCCCCCCCAAGATCGATGGCGCATTACCCCCACAAAAAATATTATTGCCTCCCTCACTCATATAACTAATATGTAACTGTATGATATGTTATGTCAATGCTAGTTTAAAAGATAATAGATATGATATTGTTTTGTTTCTCGAGGATATTATCTATACATTAGGCAATTACAATCAACAAGTAACACTATTCCAAATACAAATTCGAAACGTAATCTCAGACAACATTTTAATACTTTTCTAGAATTAAATTAAGCCATAACCAATTGAAACATTTTGGAAATCAAAGGCGTACGCAGCTTTCGTATTTAGAGGGGCAATACGTATTTTTTTATCTCGGAAAAAGTATATTATTATTACAATTTATAAATATTCTTATATGAAATACATTATATGATTGTAGCAACTATTTTGCAGTATTGCTACATTATTGCTCATCTTTTTTCTTTAATATATTTGTATAGCTATGTAAATAATTCTCTTATTACTTATGTTTTAGGTATTCATTTATTGTAATATATATTTTAGCCAAATATAATGTTAATTTCTATGATCAATATTGTTATTCTTGAGGGACTATGTCCCAGAAGAAAGTTGATTCTTCTATTCTATATACATAGAACAACAATTTTTAAAAATTAATTGTTGGCAAACCTTTTGTATTATATTATATTTTATTTTATTTGCTTTTAAATTATTAGGCGTTGCCCCCCACCCCATCGCCCCTCCTCTGTGTACGCCCTTACCGGGAATTTATCATCATTTTATACTTGTTTTAAAATATTTTTGCCTTTTAAATAACGATTTCACCTGAAATAATTGCAAGAGCGTTGTCGAAAGAGGGTAAACTTGTTTTTTAGATTTAAAAGGGTTAAATGATATTTGTAAGCCTACCTTTAATTCTAATCTAATATAATATGAGTCATCTTTTTGTTGTATACTCCAAGAAAGCCTTGAGGTTTCTTTAAGTAGTTTCCCTTCGTGATACCAAACAATTTCTGGTTTTGGATCTGCTTTGACTTTAAAATCCATAACCACTAATTTTCCTCCACTTTCAGACCGAATTTTAGGTTTTTCAATGAAGGTAGGCGCTATCCCTTCAGGTTCTGTCTCAGCTTCAATGTTCAAGTTAAGGTTGGCATTGCTTTCACCATATTCATTCTTTACATGACATCTATATGTACCACTGTCTGGTCCAATAGGATCCTGTAAAAACATATGATTAGCCATTATATGGTGATGCCATATTCTATAAATCTTTATATATCTCTGTATATGCATTAAAATATATAGCGGTAGTCTACAATCCCATAAGATAGGGGAGTGTTTACTTTATACAGAGATCAAGAGAGAAATAAAGTACATCGCAAATTAAACAGACCGAATAATAAACTAAACAAGGTGAATTAGCAAAACGGGCTCTGAGAGGTTGTTGGTCCGCCTAAACCAACCAGGGAAAAGTAAAAATCTAGAAATGGAGCTGGATAGATATCACGTGGATATTGTGGCAATCCAAGAGAGAAAATGGAAGAATATAGCTATCCAGGACCTAAGCAGGTACACAATGGTAAATAGTGGAGATAAAAACTAGGTTTTTGGCACAGGTTTCATGATAAGGAAATCACTAAAACATGCTTTAATAGATTATAAATTAATCAACGAGAAAATGTGTAAGAAAGTGGTGAAAGGGAAGTTCTTTAATATATCATTGATTAGTCTACAAGCCACAACTGAGGAAAATGAAGAGGATGTTAAAGATGACTCCTATGGGATCCTTACGTGATCCTAAGTGAATTAGAAGAAATTCCAGGCCATGTTATGAAAATTATTCTGTATGATTTTAATGCGAAAGTGGGCAAAGAAGAAGTTTTTAGACACACAATTGGGATGCAAAGCTAACATAAGGATTCCAATGACAATGGACTAAGACTTTGCTACAGAAAATGGCTTCAAGATAATGGGTACACATTTTAAACACAAAACATCCATAAGGAAACCTGGATACCAGCAAATGGTGACAATAACAATCAAATAGACTACATACCAATACACAAAAGACATGCATCAAGCATTAAAGATGTACGTAATGATAGAGGTGCAGACTTTGACACCTCTTTACTACAGATCATTACCTCGTAAAATCTTCCTTCATACATAAAATATCCCTGCGATCTCGAGATGTTGAAAAGATACAGGGGTATAATGCGAGCAAACTGAAGGAAGAAGAATGTAGTAAAAGGTTCTCTCAGAAGGCGAAAACTAGAAGGAGCTTCTGACCAAATGAATAACAAAAATATAGACACCAAGTGGAATGCTATCAAAAACATCTTGGGAGAAGCAGCAGGCAAAGTTCTAGGAAGAAAAAAGAGAGTAAGTGTGGTTGGTTTGATGTAGAATGCCATTGATGGGAGGCTTGAGCACCGACAGCAAAGAAAGAGACGCGGCTAAACATTCTACAGAGAATGACTAGACTAAGCCGAGATGTGAACTTCTCCAGGAAAAGGAATTCCTAGAAAATCTGCCGTTAGAAAAAAAGAACGTGGCTATAAGTGCAGTCAGAGGATCTCCAGAATGACCATAGCTCAAATAACACAAGAAAATTTTATAAAGACATAAAGGAAATAAAAAGAGGTTACCAACTAAAAAACGCGTGCTGCGAGACAAAAGATAGGTCTAGAATTAGTGATCTGGTTCAAATATTACAGAGATGGGCAGAATATTTCAGGAAAATTTTAGCAGAGCTAGAATAACGAAGAATGAAATAGCACCAGGATAAAGATGAAAGAACAGCTGGAATGCCGGCTGAGTGTACATGGAGAAGGATATTAAGTAGAGCCAACAGAACAAGAAGAAATTAAAGAAATAATTGGCAAATTAAAGAACAATAAGGCTCTTGGTATTGACGGCATACATTTAGAAATGATAAAAAATGGAGGTGATGAACTGAAAAGCTATATATTGCAACTGGAGAATGCATGAAGATTGGAAAATAGCAGCGATATGCCCCATACATAAGAAAGGCGACAAGCTATCTTGTGATAATTATGGAGGGATACCACTATTGAATACAGCCTACAAGGTATTTTCTATATTGCTGAACGGGCGACTGTTGAAATGCTCTGATCTGATACTTGGCGACTATCAGTGTGGTTTAAGGCCTGGAAGATCAACCATCGATCAGATATTAGCTAAGGCAAATTTTCAAATATTAAATAAATTGAGTCAAATTCTTGACTAATAAGTTTATGTCAATGAATCTTTCTGAGAAATCAGAGGAAGAATTATTAATAATAAAATACTCTATAACAAAAATATTAGATTTATTTTAATTATGAACATAATGAATTTGTTTGCTATTAATAATAAGGATTAGCATTTATGGTAGAATAATTAATATTGTTTTTTAATTTCAAACACAAGTAAATAATATATATGTGTATAACACCTTAATTAAACAAAAACTGTGTCAAAAAATTATTAATTCTATAAAGAAAGTTGCTAATCTTAGTGATGTTAACCACTTGAATATTATATGAACAGAAAAATTGAGATACACTTGCCTGAATTTCTAATATAATCACATAGGTATCTTCTTTGGTTTCTTGAATTTTTATCTTAAACCTTTCACTTTCATTAATGTTCTTAGTTCCTTTGATCCATGTAACTGAAGGTTTAGGCTTAGCTGTGCACGTACATTTCATTGATATTAGTGTTCCAGCTTCATTTGGTATAATTCTTGGTTTTTCAATAAATGAAGGAGCAAAGCCAGCTCCATCTTCTCCACCTAAAAAGTTCCTTAAATATAATATTCAAAATGATTCCTATAATAACAATGAGGAAGTATTAATGACAAATAAATTAATGAACTATTAATAACTTTATTAGTCAATAAACAATTTAAAATATTAAAAATTGCAATGTAGAGGTAAGCCATTCAAAACAGCACCTGAAACAGAAACTATCCACAAAAAATGAATGTAGTAACAAGAAGTAATAATATCATCAATATCAAGACTTCAAATTTAATTCTATAATTGTTATCTTCATCACTACTCAAAAAAAAAAAAAGACATAAATAAGTATTTTTCTAAAAACTAAACTGCATGGAAATTATTTATATCCCAAAAGTTAAATTGTGTTTATTAATTCTATATTAAGCTGGAAAGCAGGCAATACTTGATTTTAGCTATTGAAATAAACAGAGCTGATGGAAAACATGGAGAAAAATAATTCATTTAATTCATTCATTCAATTAATCGTTGATGGTATTAGACCAAAAAAAAAATCAATACATGAGTCATTCTACCAATTGAAACAAAATTGTGTCACTAGGTGATTGTGATTTCAGTATGAAATTTCTTTTCTACCGACTGACAGGTTGGAATTAAATTATTTTTATCTTAGGAATCAATTTGTTTCCACCATTTAATTTTAATTCAAATTGTCAAAATCTAATTCCCACATGTGATCTGTAACAAGAGTTGGCTATTTCTGCTATTATTAAGTGTTTTTTTTTATATTAGAAACTTAATATGAACTATTAAGTTTTTTGATAAATAATGGGATCAATTGTCTTCTCAAAAGATGGTAATTCCTCTGTCTGATGTGTTTGATCTATTTTCTTCCCAATCTATGAAAAAGTCCTCTAAATCTTTACTGAGCTTTATGTATTCATTTTTCATGTTTAATAAACTGCAGGAGATTCATATAAAATTAAGAATAATCTGATTTACATCTAACTTTAGTTTAAATGATCTCCAGTTAATTTGTATTGCGGCTGTTAATGTCTCGTTATTTTAAATTTTATTTACCTCACACGGGTTGATTCATGTTATTTTTTTAAGTTTAAATGCTTATTTTGTCAGTAGTTGAGTGCCTCACTTTTTGTATTTTACTATAAGATGGGATATATAACATATGTTACATATTGTTTATATAATGTAGAGTACCATAAAAAATATAATAATAATATTAATTATGACTTTGATGAGGACATAATAAAAAGCTTTCTTTTTTATTGAAATAAAATTTATTTTTGACACATTTGTGAAATTAAAGCCTGGGTATACTTATGATAATGAAAATACATTTATTTTATTTAAAAAAAAAAACACGTTAATTTATATATACATATACAAAAAAAAAACTGCATACAACTATTAAGTACTTACTTTTTTTGTTAATGGTAGAAATGTAGTTGGTTATAGATCCTTTAGTAGAAGAATTTGGTTAGGACAGTTAAAGGTAAAATAATACTATATTTTTTTTGGCAAACTAACCAAATAAAATAATTTTTAGTTTTTTGTCTACTTTCCACCTTTGACTGCATACCCAACCAGCTTCTTTAACTACATTCTTTATTAAATGAGATATTTTTGAACTAGGTTATGTTGTTAATAGTGTTAGAGTAAAGAAAATTTATACTCTTTTCCTAGAGAGAATTAAAATAAATAGCAAGTTCAGGTGACAGGTATCGAGAGGGTGGGCATAAAAATTCCAAAACTAGTCAAATCTGTTCCATTTTTTTTAAAATTGATTTTTAATTAACACATTTGATACTTAATAATCATGAGATAAGAGAAATATTTTCAAAAACATCTTATTCACATGTCAAAATAACTATTTTCAAAGGAAATTATTTTTCTTCACCATAATTTAGTAAGTATCATAGAGTTAAAACAATTTGCCTAGCGAGGAAAAACAGGTTGTATAATATTTAACTTTTTTAATTAATATATATATGCATTATATATATATTTTTTTGTTACATTTTTAAATACAAAAAATACATTAGAATTTTTTAAAATAATGAATGAATGAAAAAATTCTGTATTTTGTAATATTTACAATTACAGGAGGTTTGGCTCCATTACAAACATTTTTTTTTAATAAAGTAAAATCAATAATAAACAATTACACAAATTTAGAAGTCAATCAGAGAAATGTTTTTTTTTATGAAGAAAGATAAATTAAATAAACGAAATGTGATCAAAAAACAAAAAAAATACACAAACAGACATAGACAACTTTAGAACAATATAAATAAAAAGTATTGATTTTGAAAATATTAAACTCAAAAAACAAAGTTAAATGAATACATAATTAATAGAATTTAAAAAATAGTAATAATATGTTATGCCTCTCTAATACATGTTAAAAAAAAAAGCGATATACAGTATAATAGAGCAATACGTAATAATTCATAGTAGTATCAGCCTGGTGCTTCTTAGTGAAAGATTACAGAATAGCTTAAAGTGGTAAACATAACAATAAACATTACAGCAAACCTTACATTACTAACATTACTAAATAAACTAATATTATAGACATTTAATTGTTTATAATAAATGATATTATTAGCCTGATTCTTAGGCTTCTCATCATGAAATGAAATATGTCCTTTAATTTAACCAGATTGTTTATTGTTAATAAATTACCTAAAATTGAATTGTCTTCATTGAAATATTTTGTTATGTAATGGTCCCTCAAATCTTTATACATCGGGTATTCAAAAATTGTATAAATCTTCAGACTTTTGGATGTTAATTATTATGAAATTTTGATCCTCTTCTAGTTTGTAGACCGTTCCATTAAGATAGAATGAAGGATTCATTAGAGTGAGTCCCATGTTTTCCTCCTAGTCCTCTTTTTTAAACTTTTCACTCCGAAAATTCAAAACCCAGGAAAAATATACCGCCCTCAAAAATGTTGATAGCACCATTAACCCCCATTCTGGGCACCACTGCTGAGCTCTAAGCAAAGTTGCTATCTCTACATCCCCTATTTTTATGAAAACCATTTTGTTCTTCCGGAAGTATATTGTTGATTTCTGAGCATTACATAAGACGGCTGTTCAAAATGTAAGTGAATATTTGTTATGAACAATGCTATAGTTTTATAATTGGTCGGGTCATTTTTGTTATATTTTTTGAAGATTAGTTTTATTATTATTTTCGCCCCACTTTTAGGAATGCCTTCCTGTTATTAGATTTTATTCATAAGATTGAGAATATAGTGTTCCCATTTAGGAGTTAATAATTTTTAATATTCATAAAGTATCCCGTCATTGCTTGGAGATTTATTTTTTTCTATTTGTGGTTCTTCTAGGGATATATCACAGTTGAGATTAATTTATTATTTTGAACTTTATGTCTATATCTGGGTTTGGAGAGCAACAGAAATTTCTTTAGAAATTCTCAAATGTTTTTAATGATATTTCTAATTCGACGTTTTAGTTTTTGAAATATCCGATTTTATTGCTATATGGGTGATTGTATTTTTAAAGCTCTCGCAAATGTTTGATGCACTATTGGAGTTGGGTATATATTGGACGACTGTTTTAATAAATTGAAAAATAGTTCAATATTATTCATTTTCCGTTTGAATAATTGTATTTTATGGAAGTTATTTTTTCGGTTGTGAGGTATTTGATAAATAAAGTGGGAGGTTGAGTTGGGGCATTTGAGAAGCAGGTATTTGGCCTACAACCATGTCATTAACAAAGGGCTTCATATTGAGGTTTACCCAGATTGTATCCACTACTGAACTGCCCTTGTAGGTGTGACAGGTGAAATGTACTAATTCGTTACTGTAACTCCTACCATTGGTCATTATAAAATAGTTTTTCTCTAATAGGTTTACTACTAGGTTTACTACTCCCCCTCCTAACATTCGTAACTCTGTACTGCGACTGCCTAACTTCATTAAACATTTTTCCTGTAAACAGATGATTTTCATTCTATTGGTTTAACTCACCAAACTTTCCATTCCAATCTCATCCAAGCAAAATGTATTTATGAGAAAGATTATCTTTTATTTCCCTTAATACTTCATCAAAAAGTTCGATAAATTCATCCGTATTACAAGTTTGATTAAAATAAATGCTGCCTACTATAAGTTTTATATTATCTATTTCTATTTCTATAAATTGCCATAAAGACAATGGTATGAACATGGTTTCATTTCTGGTTTATTAATTATCTGTGATTAAATTAATTATTTAATTTTTAAATAATATGTATAGTAAAATATCTTATCTATTAATTTGTTTGTAAAAAAATAAATATATTATCTCTTAGATTTCATTTCAAACTAAGAAATATTAATAATTAATTTAATAATGATTTTGACATGCAAACAAAAAATATAATGAAATTATAGAGAAAAAAATAGTAGTTTATTAAAGAGGTTAAATCGGGGGGAAAATTATTAAAGGATGAATGAATGCAAACACTTTTTAAAAAGATCGTTGGTTAAAATTACTTTATGAAGGAAAACAATGTTACCTTTACTGTTAAAGGAGAGAAATAAGAGCGAGTGAAATAAATTTTACCCAAATATTACCTTGAAAATTCAATGCTATATTTGCATTACTCTCGCCATAAATGTTACAGGCATTACACCTATAATTTCCACCATCTTGTGGTGTTGGTTTTGATATTTCCAATTTGAGGAGATACTGATCTTTTCCTGTAGCCTTTTTGCTCATTCTAATGCGGCTCGAGTCTAAAATAACTTTTTCTCCTTGATACCAAATAATGTCAGGAACTGGATTAGCTTCCAAAAGGCATTCCATCACAAGAACATCTCCATCTTGATGAATTGTTGGTTTCTTTGGGAACCTTGGAGATTTAGCATCTACGATTCTTAAAAAATTATAATTGAAGACTTTAGAATTAGTGGAAATGAAAAAGTATTTTACTAACAGAATCTCAAGCACTTCCTGACATTGTGTCTAGAAGTATAATGTAAAAAAAAAAATGTTAACAATAAACACATAATAAAACAGTAATATCTGCTTTTATATACTTTAATTAGAAAATTATATAATAAACCATAAAAATATAGTCAATTTCAATACCAATTCTTAAAACCATAATTATAGAGACCCAATATTTATAAACCAAATGAACTTGATAATGACCCGAATATAACATTTTTCAACAATATATCTTTACTAGTGTATAATAATATTTTAAATGTAATCTATAATTATTAAAACTATAAAAAAAATTAAGAAATATAGGAAATGATTTAATTAAAAAAAAAAAAAGATGCCGTGATAAAATACCTCAGAAATACCATTTATTTAAAGTAATTTTTCTTTTTCTCAAATTTCAAAGAATGCTGTTTTGTGGACTTGTAATTTGCACCCGAACGCCGCCTTGCGGTAGGTTGTAAAAACAGATCTGATAAGAATCAAGAGGCGTAAGCTTAGAACCCCCTCCCCCCCCCCCCTCTCTCTCTCTCTCTCTCTCTCTCTCTCTCTCTCTCTCTCTCTCTCTCTCTCTCTCTCTCTCTCTGCCCACTTTTGGCCAAGCACTTGAATTGAGAGGACCTAAGAATTTGGAATGGAGGAGAGCGCCCTTCAAAGTACATGTCAAATTTATCTATGCCAGCGTAAAAGGGCAAGATACTTTTTATAAATCATATAACTTACCACATTCAATAAAAATACAGTTCACTGCAAAATAATGTCGAATGTTGCCTAAGTTGAACTCATTAAAGTTATTTGCTTTTTTTTTTATTAAAGTAGAAATTTGCCCAAACAAATGCATTTTGGCAATCATACTAAAAAAACCATGAATGGGAGGTTGAACCAATAATCCATATGAATAATAACAGACAATGACTATAGTAAGAGATACAAAGGAGGTTATGAAGGAGTAAATAAAGCATTATATTAAGAAAGGAACGAATTATTTTAATTATTAAAACATATCAGAGTGACATCTTCCAGGGTTATCGAAAACAAACGCTACCTACCCGTATATAGGATCCAAAGGAAAGGAGCGGAGGCCTACTGGACGGTACTACCTCCTCCCTCTAACAATAGAGGGAGGAGGTAGTACCTTACGGGAATGAAAAGCATCAATAAATGCGCAAACAAGGAGACGAGGGATATGGCTATTTTTTGTATTTGTGGTACTACAAATGATTGTTCAATGAAATTATAATATAGAAATACATTTTAGTAGATACAAGTTTTTTGATTACTTGATAAAGAGCTAATCAGCTCAAAACGTCGTTGGAAATAGAATAAAAAAATTTAAAATATAAGGGCATATATATTCCTTGAAGACACCATATATAAGAACATTGAGTGCTCTTGAAAAGTACTACTGTAGTAGCTAAATAGACGCATAGATAATTCGTCCTAAAGACGAATTTTCTGATGACAAATATAAAAATGATTATAGAATAATCAGAAAACAATTACACCAATTTATTTGGAAATATTTAGCTGCTTGTAATTTGTTATCCGTCCAGCACTATCTGATGTGATGGAAATTTTGCCTTATTTAAAAGTTGAGAGAAATATGTGAAGATTGTAACTGAAAGTTGTTGCTAGAGTGCTTTGATACCTTGGAAATTATTTTTAATTGAATTTGTGAAAACCATTATGCAAAAATGTCGTGTTTTTGGTTCATTGGCGTCAATTATCCAGTAAAGGAAATTTCACCGCCATTTTATGGAAAAAATACCTAACAAAACTAAAATAAACATTTCTTTATGTAGGTTGCTATGTAAAAGTTATTTTGAAGTTATAGGGTGATGTGAAGAACCAATGGAAACCATCCTTGTCCCATCCTGAATATTTGTATATAATACGCCAAGAAGTAAGAAAAGAGATCTTATGTTGAGTTCCGACCTCTAGGATGGGTCATATGTTTTCTTCCGGCTTGGGGACTGAAGCCTTGGCCCTACAAAGACCATGATGATCCTAGCAGAGCTTTGAACCATGACGAGATGATCTCGAATCAGCAGATAGCTATATTGTAATTCCCAACCATAATGTTAAAATATTTCATAGCAAAATAATTCTCAAAACAGTCCGTCTGAAATCATACCTGCAGAGTCATTATTAAATCATGTTTTATATTTAGTTTATTGTATATAGTATTTGCACATTAAGATTTCTAAAATAATTTGTATATATTCTTTATTAAATTAAGTTTTTAGTAAAAGTTATTTTAATCATGCCACCTATTTATATCATGATGATCACAGGTAATGGTGGTAATTAGAAAGCATGATATAGACAAACCAGCATTTGAGAAAAGAAATTCAATTAATTAATCATGGACCAAATATATTGTAGACCCAAATTTATTTTACTAATTTTTAATTTTTAATTTGTATTAAACATTTCTGGGTAATTATCATAATAATTATTAAGTGGCATCCCGAATAAATTTAAACACCCTAAAACGTAGCAACTTTAATTTCATCCCTTTTGTGGGAATAAAACATAGCAAGGTATACACACACACCTATGATGTATGTAATGGATTTAGTGTATGTGCACCTGTTTCGCAGTACAACCCTCCCCCCCCCCTCAGAAAATGCCTGGATCCGCCACTGGTTTAGAACCTACCATATATGCGCGTAATTGCCACCAGTACAGTAACATTGATTTAAATTTATTAAACTCAACAGATGCAATGAAAACTAATTACGTGAATGTTACTCTTAGGTTACAATAGTAGATTATTTATGAAAATGTGTCTCTTTTAACTATGACTAGAATTATTATAAATAAACGGTATAATTAATTTATTCGATACTAAAATATAATGTAAGTGAATTTTTATGCTTGGGATCCTAATTAATTTAGAATAAGTGTACAAAGAAAATTGACTGAAGTCCTAAATAATAAAATTTATACGATATGAAGAAAAAGAATCTGGTGTGTCCACTCACAAGACTTTCCTCCCTATTCCAGAAAAGTTTTTATATCTTTAAATATGTCCATTAAGAAAAAAGAAAAAAAAATTAATTAGATTTATTTTCCTGAAAATTGATCAAAGGAAAAATGTATGTACGATTTCTTAGATAAACTAAAGCAATGTAAACCGGCTTGTGGAAGATCAGCGTAAAAAAATCAATACACTCTAATATTGCTAATCAAAAACTTTTTTACCTTAATCCAACTTTGTCAAACAATAATTTCTGTTAGAAGTCGAGAGAAAACTTGTGTGATAGGGGCAACAGATTTTCTTACTTTCACTTACTTTTCATTTTTTCCTCTCATTCACCGCTTACCCGTATTCTTACTTACGAAATTAAATAGTTGTACTTCGTTAATAGTTGTCCGAAATGAACGATTTTTATATAGTTTTGTAGGTAATTCCGTTTAAAAAAACAGGCTAAATAGGCTCTGGAACGTACAAATCCGTCGAAAACCACATGTCGGAAATTTGACCCGATCGCGATACTTTGCTTACCTAATATAGCTAGGAAATTTATAAATTAAAACATGTGTAGAAAGTAAAATATTCTGTATCATCGCTAATACTGGTTTGATTCCGCTGATTTTTGTTTTTGTTTTGTAGGTAATTTAATTACCTTTCAAAAGTTATATAAATTTTATCGTAGAATACGTACTTAGTGAGTTAGGCCTCAAAACATTTTTCTTTTCTTTATAACTTTTTTTTCCTGAACTTCCTCGAGAATTTAGAACATTTATAACAATTGAATGAACATTGATTATAAAATTATAGGAAAGTTTTGTTAGAGCCACTTTAGCGCTACAGTCTAGAGAAAAATATATTTTTCACTTATTGCACAGCCGCTATTACACATGAAGCACCAAATTTGTGTCACAGTCATCAGTAGTCAAAACCCTACAAAATAAAAAAAAAAAGCAACAAAATCGGTCCACTGATTCCCGAGATAATCTTGGCACAGACAGACGTACCAATGGCTGAAAATGTGTTTTTTCGAACTCGGGAGGCTCTGAAACGTATAGATCCGTAGAAAATTGCATGTCGGAGATTTGAGCCGATAGCAACACTTTACTTTTACTTTACCTAGTATAGGAATGAAAGTAAAAAGTAAGTAGTCCGATTTACCAATTGACACTTCATCCCCATATGATTGAGGTAACACTGGCTTATTTTAAACCAGCCCTTATTTATGGCTTATTTTATCATCGTACTAGATGCTGTATAACCAACAAAAATGCACGTCTGCCTACTACCAGCCGCGGGTCTGCCGTTTGTTGAAACGTATTAACATTTAGTCATTATTATTATCCTCTATGAAACAAGGCATAAAAATCTGAAAAAAAAAACAAATTTTATATTAACAAAAATACTTACTGTGTTCCACCCGAGTGATTACAACAATTAGCTTAAAAAAGAGGTTCCCATTTTTTTTTTTTAAATTAAAAAGCCATTCTTCTTAATATCGTCGATGAAGGCAGACCATTATACATCTACTTATTATGTTTAGAAATCATTCAATGACTTTTTATAATAGTTATATATATTTTTATTGAGAAATAATACATTTTGCCACACTTAGGGCACTGAGTACTAAAGCTGAGTGAGGCACAAGATTTTATAATAGTAACGGATTAGTTTGGATGGAAGGAAAATATTTTATCAGGTCGATGAATACTTCTGGGCTGCTGTAATATAGCTATGTTTTATTCAAAACACTTGGATATCAAAACAAAGTTGGTAGGACCGTCACGTTTCGAGCATAATAAGTGTTTTGAACCTAATTGTTATGTTCAATTTCGATTTAATTAATTAGTCAATTTAATTACATTAATCGATGTCTATTTAGAACATAATTAATGTTAGTTACTCATTTGACGCAAAATTTAGTATTCTTTATAGCTTGGAAAAGAATACTTTTTGTTAGGAAGAACCGTCTTGAAGTTATAAATCAATGAATGAAAATATTCTATTTTTGATAGAGCGATATTTTGTACCCGGCAGATTCATGCCAACATCTTTCGATATTTCAGCTCTACTTCAAAGGCATACTTGTTTTCGTGAAACATTGAGTAATGTATTTCCTCAGTATTTCGGAGGCTTGTTTAAATTTTGTATTCTTAAGAAAACTATTTAAATACTTTTTTGTAAGATGTACTAATAAATTGTTCCTGAATAAAATCGAAAAGTGTGACAGAAAATCGGTATTAGGACGCGCGAAAAGACACGTCAGATTAGGAGACTTCGATTTTTAACAAAGGTCTGGATACATACAACTTATCGAACATCCAAAATTACATAACCTTTTGCAAGATTAACTCCCTTTTGGCAACATGGCCTGAAATCTGGGCTATCGTGAGCGTTGATATTTTTACTTCTGAAGGCTCGTAGTACAGAACTAAGTGTACTAAGAAAAAAAAAAGTCGATTAGTCAGGAATTCACGCATAAAATTATGCCAGAAAGTCTGAGAATCAAGTCTACTAATAGATCATTTGAGCACTTAATAGCCTTTCACTTATTGGTTGACAAAAGACTTTCTGATAGTATGAGAAACAAATAAAACATCGTAGGTGTCAGAACCTATGTACATTTGGAGACAATATAAACCAGAAGCTTGGTTGGTAAAATGGATAGGTAGATAGGCGTGAGGCTGAGCGTGAGGTGTGATGTCTATTGATTAATGTTTGGTGTAGAGGTAGCTCTACTTAGTGTTGTGATGATTATAGATATTTCAGCGTGTGCTATCTGATCAAAGTGGTGTGATATGTAGGTATTGAATCATAAAATAAAAAAATGAACAAGGTGTTTTGTTAGTTTTTGTGATCAATGATACTTCTGTCAGTTATTCGTCTAATAGAATTCAAGTTTCTTTATTGGTTAAATACGTTGCCCTTCCATAGGATAATTGACAAGGTGACCACAACTAAATCATATGTGATGAATGTTGCAGAAAGCTGCAAAATGGTGTATAAGATTACTAAGCTCATTATTATCTCCTGACTCCCTCTACGTCTAATTAAATTCCTCTACGAATTGGAAAAAGAAACATTATTAGATGGATTTACCGACAAAAACTAAAATCCTTAGCAAAGGCATAAACAGGGTGTTTCAGGGTTAAGTGGCCAAACTGTAAATATGATTTGAGAACCTCAAAACAAGAAAAAAAAATTCCTCTGAAGGTACGTTCGCAAACGCTTTGTTTAGGAGATATTAATACCTAAAGATTTTCATTGTTATTAATTATCTACGTTATGTTAAGTAAATAATTTTTTTTATTTGTTCCAACTACTTCATTAATTAAACGTAAATATGAAATTCATATAAAATGTTGGTCAAAGTGATTTTCTTGAGCATTAAGACAAGCTCGGCATCTTTCTTCAACTGCAGCATTGGCAGAACGGCACTGGATATGTGTTATTGTTTAGCAAGACTCAATTATCCTTCTTTGTAAAGAATTAAGGTCATTGACCGGACTTGCATAAACGTTTTGTTTAATGTCGTCCCAAACAAAAAAATCCAGGGGTATCAGGTCTAGAGAGAGTGCAGGCCAAGCAACTGGTCCTGCAAGGTCAATTCATTTATTGGGATAATTAGCATTTAGACATTGTCGTGGACCTCTTCCATAATGGGCAGGACAACGATCTAATTGAAGCCACATGTCCCTTCTCAGTTGTAGTGGAGTATGTTCAACTAAATAATAGTAATCATTATTAAGAAATTCCAAAAATGTACTCGCATTGAGTTGAGGCGGCAAGAAATGCGGTCCTATTACAATATTGTCTATTATCCCCAACCACACATTGGACTGAAACTGGTGCTGAAAATGATGGTCACAAATTGCATGGGGAATTTTCTGATTATTTTTCTGATTGACGATACCTCTTCTTGTAAAAGTAGCTTCATCTGGCCAAAGAATTTTTCCTGGAAATTGTGGATTATACTCAACCTAATTTAAGTACCAATCTGAAAAATTTCTTCTTCGCCGAAAATCTTACGGTAATAAATTTTGTACCCGATGATAATGATGTGGATGAAGTCCATCTGCAATGAGAGTTCTCCATAATGTAGGTGGCGCAATATTTAATTCTGCTGTAGCTCTTCGTGCACTACCTTCTTCATTTCGTAAAGGGGCAAAAATACCATCAACGTGGTATTATAGCAAATGTACCAATTTCTCTAAGACCTTGAAACGTGGAGCTAAAGATAGGCTTGTTTGGTAATCTTCTGTTCAGAAATCGCCTGACATATTCACTACGGGCAGCATTAGCATTACCATTGAAAAAACCGTATACAAACACCATATCGGCATATTCAGCATTAGTATAAATGGAAGGCATAATGATGAGTACTCTGCGAAAGCCTCTTACAAACTGATAAATGTTATTGAGAGTTCCAAATAGTATTAATCCTTATCTTGCCAATAGTTTTTATATAGTTAGGGATAAAAGAGGAGCAGGGTAGCTCAGTGGGTGAGCACTGATTTCCAGAGCTCAACGTCCCAGGTTCGAATCCGGCTGATGAATAGTAATCTTTTCATCAGACGTAGGCCGACCCTGTAGCCGAGGGACCCTCCTGGGGCAAACTCAGCCTCTATAAAGTGGGTATTCATAATTAAATAATTAATTGAGGGCGAAAACCTGGCGGATGGGCGTTATATAGGCCTGTTGGCCTTGTAACAGTACTTCCTCACATTGTACTGAACCCATAAACTTTCATGAGTTGTTAGTGGTACAGGATTTTTTTTTTTTGTATAAAAGGTCATATTAGTGATCTATCTAATCCATTTCCTAAACAAAGCGTTTGCGGACATACCTTCAGAGGAAATATTTCTGGTTTTGAGGTCCTTAGTTAATTTTTGCAGTTTGGCCACTTAACTCCGAAATACCCTATATAAAGATAGTAATAAGATACCAATGTGAAGTCAAGATTTAAAATGTTATTTCAAACAGCTTTAAGATAAAACATGGGTTGAAGCAAGAAGACCCTATATCGCCTGTCCTCTTTAATATAATACTGGAGTGGGCTGTTGGAGATATAAGGTACAATCCTGGAGAGACGATATTCAATCGACTTACTCAATGCCTTGCGTATTCAGACTTTATTCTTATTAGCTCTCGCTCATTGTCGGCAGTGGCGGGTCAATCATGGAATTCGAAGTGATAGCAATTCAACTTGGCCTGAGGATAAATGAAAAAAAAAAAACACAGTCTGTACATCAAGTCTTCAAGGAATAATGTAGATTAATTATTTAGTGGAGAATGATAATTATTGAGCTGTATTTCAATGATAATTATTGAGCTGTATTTACAGAAACTTATACAAATGAATCAGCACTATTTTCCAATGGGAACAGAATTTAATACCTCGGAGTGATAGTGACAAACTAAAACCAAATTCAGGCCGAAATAATAAGCTAGAACTACAGCAGGCAATAAATGTGTTTATGCTGTGGCAAAAATACTGAAATCAAAGGAACTGGTATACGGTATAAAGAAAATGAATGATCAGTGGCGAATACGGAAAAACGACGAGCTATATAATAATGACAACATTTTAGTCACTATCAAAAGGTGCCGCCTCAGTTGGCTAGGCCATGTAGAAAGGATGGAAGAAGATAGGCTGCCCAAGAAAGTTCTCTATAACTACCTAAGAGGGTATTCCTTAGTGGAAGATCCCGGCTGTGGTGAAACAACGACATAGAAGAAAGCCTCAGTCGTATGTGTATAAGAAGCTGGAGAAGAACATCAGGCGATAGGAAAGCCTGGCGGAAGTTAGTTTCTGAGGCCCATATCCGTTAAGGACTGTTGAGCAGATAAAAAAAAAATCAAAAAGAAAATCGTTTTTTAATATTAAAAAACAGAGAAAGTTGTACAAATATTCAGGCAATTGATCACGACGAAGCAAGTTTTTAGCTAAGGTTAGAAAATATATGATATTAACATTTTTTTTTTCACAGCTTGTTTCCATAAGCGTTTTAACCTATTATAAATAAATAAATAAATATCTCACTTTATTTTTTCTGCACTTTCAAAATTTAAATTAACAGATGCTGTTGCTTCACCCAATTTATTCATTGCAGTGACTTTATAAACCCCAATATCTGCCATATCTGGGGATTTTATCAGTAGTCTAGCTAGATAATACAATTTTTGATCAAGTTCAAGATGGAATTGAGTATGCAGACATTCCTTGATTATTTTAGTACCATGATACCTGAAAGTAAATGGCCAATATTTAATTTAATACAACCAATTGTAAAAAAAAAAGATTAACAGAATAAATAAACCTGTATATATTGATTATAGCATGTATTCTCTGCTTCAAATAAGGTCATATAGAAAATTAAAAAATGTTAATGAGAAATAAATATAAAGAAAACAGATGGAAAAGTTTGTGTGTGAACAGCTGAACTAAAAAATGAAAAATTGTATGAAACTGAAACTAAGTATTTATGGAAAGTACATATTTGAATGTTTGTGGTGTTATAGCAACTTTTTGTTAAAATAGACTTACCGTGTGTACAATATAATCGATTTTACACTTTATTTTTATAACTTCCACGTAAATATCTAACCAAAGAGTTTGATCATTTTTTTATTATGAATGGACAACTATAGAAGTTTTAATATATACTGCTATAGATAGATATTATTCCAGGGGTGTCCATTCTCCCCAAGGTCGACGGCGGAAGAACCTACCCCCTCTCCCCCCAAGATACTTAATTGCACATCTTTTCTTAAGAATAAGCTCCGTTAGAATTAGAAAAACCGTAGATCATATACAATCACACTTACTGCGGTATGTTCCATGTTTTAAAAATAATTAATCATCATCAATTAATAGTTGTACTTTGGGGTAGGTCAGTAAGTAAAGCACTGTGTTCCTATGACCCGAGTGTTGGATTTAATTCCGACTGGCAGCAAATTATTTATTCTGTGAATCAAACTGTAGTTCGAAACACGGAATCGAGAGGTGGGCACACTTAATAAAGAGTTTACTCTCATTTAAATAATTGACTAAGGGGGAAAAATGACGGTTGAGCGTAATCTCGGTCAAATTACCTCCTTGCAAAACCGTTGATTAAGAAACAGTACTTCCGTAAAAAGTACTGAACCCAAGATGCTATGTTAGTTGTAGCCAATGCGCCCTACTTTGTTACAAATAAATTCAACCATAATGACCTTAATGTTCCAGATTGGGCCAAATCCAGATACCTATCCTTCTATAGTAAACTTTAGAACCATCACAACCCTCTTGTTTCTAACCTTGCTTCCTCTTCAATTCCTGATAACCCTCCGAGGCGTCTGAAAAGAAGATGGCCCCATGATCTCCTAATGTAGACATATTATTAAAGTACTACCAGTGGGTAGTTTCTCAACAAGTGTTTTCACGTGATTATATCCATTTGTACAAATTTATTAAATGTATTTCTTTAATACAGTTGTAAATACCATTAATAAATTATAAAAAAAAAAAAGCGGCTATGCTACACTGATTGTTCACGATTTTTTAAAATATCCTCCACTGGACCACAGATACCGCCTTTTTATAAAACAAATCTGGTGCGCACAACACACAACTTTCACTTACCGCTTTACTTTGAATTCTAGAAATTGAGAAATTCCTTCTACAACTTTATTTATTAGATATTATTTTTTTCTGAAATTTTCCACTTTCCAACGATATGTTATACCTACGATGTGTTATACAGTCATACCTTCTGACTATTATTATTATTATTCATTTTCGACCTGGATAAGCATATGTTTTTTCACCTTTATCCAATTATCAAATTCATTCAAAAGCTATATTTAGTCTTTTTTAATAACTCATGAGAGATAGGGAATTATTTAAAATAAACAAAATTAAAAGTCCTTTAGAGGAAGACATTTTGAATTTTAGGGATTTAAGCCCTGTTAAGCGACATCAATTGGGATAAGACTTAAAGACATAAAAGATTACTTAATTATACATTAATACACCGAGTTTAATCAAAATCGTTGGAGCCGTTTTTGAGAAATTCGTAAAAATGTATAAAATTGATGATATAAAGTGGCACTTCCAGTTAGCCGATTTTAACGAAAAAGTTGCTGTCACATCTGAACTTTATAAAAACCTTAAATATGCAATTTTAGTTTCGTACGAGTTTTCGTTTTGAGCGAGGATGCTCACACACACACACACACACACACACACACACACACACTCTATAGATACCCCAATTTTAGAAATACTTCTTCGTTTAATAAACTTCAAGTCCATATTAATTAAATTGAGTTTTATTCGGCAAATTCTGGAATAATATCAAGTTGTGTTAAGAAATGTTGTGATTTTTCATCTTGTCACCTAAAAGTACCTACGTTTTAAAAAAAATTGACTACAATTAACTGTTGTAAAGTTTTTATTTCCATGATCTGGGATATATCATAATACAAATAATTTCCTAAATACACTTTTTATTTATGATTAAAAAATAATAATAATGATCTTTTAAATGCTTTTCATGTGAAGTGTTTATGAAATTGTATTTTTCTCCTAGATCTCTGTCAAAGGAGTTGATCCGTATTTATAATTGGTAAATTTCATGTTTCCAGTCCTAAGATTAACCTTTATATAAAATAATTGAAGCAATCACCTAAAAGTTCACGTGTTTTCATCTTCAACTGTTATTGTTTTTTGCGTGATACGGGGTGAACTGTAATAAACATAATTGATTTAAAATACATTTTATTTATAAAAATAAAAAACTTTTTTAACACATTTTAAAAAATAAAATGTGTTTTTAGGTAATTATCTTTATTACAATAAAGTTGCGATTTTATGGAAATTGGTCCTTATTTGATAAGGGACCAAAAAAATGTTCCTAATCCTAATATCTAAGATTTCATGAAAATAATTGAAGAAATCGTAGTGTTTTGTTTCTTTATAAATATTAATCAATAATAATAAGCTATTACTATAAATGTTTATTGATGCCATTTATGTCTTGTGCTATGATAATTTTCAGTTACCAAATTATGGCTATTTCTGAAATTAAATATCCCATTCCTTGAAAATAATACTTCAGGAAAAAATATTCTCCTACGAAAGTGGGGTTTCTTCCTGGAATTTTCAAATTCTAAAATATTGCATCCAAATGGAGCATCAAGTAATTGGCAGCAATTGCTTAAAAATTTAGCAAATTGGTCACTAACAGAAATCATATTATGGAATAGTCGAAATATTATTTCAATAGACTTTTGAATGACAACACTGCTCGTGTCCTCGTAGTGAGACAGGAAATACCATATGGTGACCTGGAACCTCCTGACATGGAAAATATTGAAGAGGCAATAATGCACCTAAAAAAATATGGTACCGGGGTTGGATACAATACCCTCAGAACTGTTTAAGTATGTTGGAGAAGAGCTTACAAAACTTTAATACAACATCATCTTGGATATATTACTAGAAGAGGCAATATCAGATGATTGGTACAAAACCATTATCTGCCTCACCAACAAGAATGGAGATATCTTGGACTGTCACAACTCCCGCGGGATATTCTTGCTGTCATGTGTATTTAAAATCCAATCATGAGTCCTCTTTCAGAAGCTACTCCCATTCGCGGAGAGAGAAGTAGGTATACATAAGCATATATGTATTTATGCGAGTAAGATCTACTATCAAACAAATATTCTCTATTAGAACAATCCTCGAGAGGAACAGGAAAAGTAATATGTGCTTACATTATCTCTTTATGATTATCATAGAGCTTGTGACAGTATTTTAAGGGTTGAACTGTATATGGATATGTTAGACCTTGATAACCCACCTAAACTTGTGCGGCTAATACGTGTGACAATGCAAGAAGTGAAATTCACTGCCAAAATTCAAAACGATAAATGAGCGCGCTAAGGGGATTGTTTGGCATGTTTCTTATTTAACATTTCTCTGAAATGTGCACTTAAGATATCACAAATACAGGTCGGTGGAACGATTTTTAATTAGTCGGTAAACACCCATTGAGGAGATCTTTACAGCCATGCAATGAGCTACAGCAAGAATTGGCTTAAGTATAAATGCGAGTAAAACTAAGTATATGTCGATCCAAGGAGAGGGAACTTTAGAGCATGAGTGGAAATTGGAGGCTTCAAATTTGAATGTGTCTCCGAGTTTATATACCTTAGCTGCCATGTTAATATAAAAAATTATATGAACGGAGAAATCCAGAGACGCATCACAGCCGCAAATAGAGCCTATTTTAGCCTTCAAAAAAACCTAAAAAGCCGAATGACTTCACGTATAACTGTCATGTTTAAAATCCTAATTAGACCAGTATTAACACATAGTTTGGAGTGTTGGACAGTATCAAGAACACAAGAAGCAGACTTTTTTCGATTGAAACGTCACGTTCTAAGAAGAATATTCGGCCCAGTACTTAAAAACAACCAGAAATGGCAAATGCGAACGAACAATAATCAGCTGGAGCTGTATCGAGATGCCAATGTTGTAGTATAATAAGGATGGGTAGATGGGCTGTACATGCTGCCGGATGCCTCGAGATCCCATAGTGAGAAAATTATTAGAGGAGCGAATTTACAAAAGGCAGACCAAAACTTAGATGGGCTGATGGAGAGGAAGCAGATATCCGAGCTATCCTTGGAGTCTACGATTGGAAGGCGGCTGCACTTCTCAGAGATGACCGGCGGTAGAACCTGAAGGAGGTCCTGATTCTAAACGAGTTGTAGCGCTATAGAAGAAATGCAACATTCAGTACCAAAAGGACGTCAATACCTATTTAAGATAACTGCTCAATATTGTAAATTAAGATTATTTTTTATAAATAAAGCTTGCCAATTGCTAAAATTATTTTCATAAATAAGAAAATATTAGTTTGAGGAATATTTTGTTGGTCGCTTATTACAATAAGGATCATTTTCCGTAAAAGAAATCTGTGTAAAAAAACACAATTGCATCCAAATTTTAGATGACAAATTTCTGAAAAAGCAGAGTTTTTAATATATTTTTTGTAAATAAAACTGTATTTTCATAATTAATTTATTATAATACACCCCTAGCCACAGGAAAACAAGTATTAAAAGCTTTGTAATAATTTACTGTAGTTATTTATGCTGAAAACAGATACTTTGGGGTGACTGAATATCAATTCACATATTTTTTTTTTCTTCAAAATTAGATCTCAACCTACTCGGTAACAAACCTCAACATAATTAATATGGATTCAAAATTTATTCAACAAGAAAGTTTGTACAAAATTGTGGTAACTGAAGTCCAGTTGCAGGCAATTGAGGTAATTGAAATCCTCAGGAAATGGTGAACTACATCTTATCGTGTCAAAGAGATTTTTTAATGGTTCTCTTACTTAAAGATTAATATTTTTTTTTTGTCTTTTTATCGTTCGCTACTTAAACATAATAATAAGTGGGGAATGGTTTAAAGAATACTGTAGGACAGGAGGTCATAGGTTTGCGATGAAGGGTAAAAGTTATTTGATGGAATTTATATGTGATTGGAGAGTTTGGGATGCATTTGATGTATCTATATTAACAGATAGGATAAATGTGTCATCGACATATGTAGTGATTAGAGTGTTGGGATGTCAGCTGTATAAACTGTGTAAAGAATAGGACCCAGGATACTACCTTGAGGAACACCAGCAGACTGGGGAAAAGGGGATGAATAAGAATGTTGTGATTTACTTTAAAGTATCAGTAAGGCAGGATCGGATAAGGAGGAAATATGTAGGTGGTAGGAATTTACAGGGTTTGTACATCAATCGCTGGTGCCAGACTCTATCAAATGCCATATTGTATTTAATTTCGAAACATGGTAAGAAATGTTAAACAATTTGATAATCCGGATTTTTCAATAGGCCTCAAACGAATATTACCTTAAAAGCTTTGGACTTACTGGAAACATCGATTATTCTCAACTGCCGTTTAGTGTAATAGGAAAAATATTAACAAGTTTTGAGAAATAAAATGAAAACATTATTTTAAAAAAAATATACCCACAATTTGAACCAATCAACTAATAAGAAAAATGTACCATCACTTTTTTATGATTTGACTGAAAATTCAAATATGTTTCTTGCGTACAGGTAGATCAGTGCGAGGATCTACCTCCTGTTTCAAACTCAAGCTATCATGATTCCTAATAATGATGATTTTCAAGCGAATAATATTCAATTATTTTTTCTAAAATACATTATATAAAAGCTAGTGCGACAACTGTTAATAAATTAATAAATAGTATTTAAAACTACTTACCAAGTAACATTTGGTTTTGGTTCACCAACAAGACGGCATTCAATCGTGATGTCACCTCCTTCATCAGTTTGTCTTATCACAGGTTTCTCTGTGAAGGTTGGTTTGATACCACTTTCAGGAACTGGAGCTTCATCACCTATTTCACAAATATCCTTCTACCTATTCTACATCTAAATTATATTGACATGAAAACAAAATATACAACACAAATACAAGTTGAATTTTTTCTGAATGGCCTTTCATTTCTTTCCTTGTTTCTGGTGACTGATAATTATAAATAATATAATATTTAAAATCTTACAATTTAGTTAAAAGCATTATGAAAGCCAGAACTTTAAAAGAAAAAAAGGAAATGAACAGCAGTAAACAGATATTACTTCGTTTATTCGATTTCAAAAAAAATAAAATAAATATATTTATAAATAAAATAAATATATACATAAAAAGACTTTAATGAACATATTCTGATTTTTGCTTGCTAATCCCTGGCAGACATATACAGATTTCTGCCTTGAACTAAATATTATGATTCATTTTGCAACACCACGAAATATCTAACTATGCCAATAAATATGTTTTAATTTGATCCGATTGGGATTCAAATCAAGATTCCTCCAGACTTGGCTCTCTGAAAATCTCATTATCGCAATACGGAAAGGTATACTATGATATTAGTGATACTGAGATGCGTTTTTCTTATAGACAACTAGGATTTAATTAAAATTATTACATTTTTTATTTTTTCAACATATTTTTTACCTTTGATAAATAATCGTTTCCTACAACATGTATTTCCTAAATTATCCTATAAATAAAAGCAAAAGAATTTAAATGGTGTAATTTCACACCAATCATACATGCTTCCTGTATCATCATGAAGGCCTTACATATTTTCTACTTCCAATGTTTTTTTAGTTGGCACGCCGTACCAAATCCCATTACTTTCAACAATCCTTATCCAGCAGTCCAAACTCCAAAGCCGTGTGTGCGGGCAATTCTCCGTAAATTAATACCCTTAGGCCTAAACCAAGACTACCTCTATTTCAGCTGACGTACTCAACACTCATTTTGTCTCCTGCTCATCCTACCCTTCTTTCCAATCACCTGTTCCACACCTCATTTATCCCTCCTTTAATTCTAATCATTTTTTCTTATCTCAAACTTTTCTAATATTACCCCTGACGACCTCCTTAAATCCATTCGTATATCCCAAACCAATGATTTCGGACCAGATAATATCCCAGTTAAATTAATTAAATCCTCACTTCCATCCATTTTCCCAATCCTTTATCATATCTATAACTTTTCACTATAAAGTTCCACTTTTCCCAGCACCTGGAGAACTGCCCTTTTTCGTCCAATGAACAAAACCTCTAATCCTGCAACCCCTAATGATTTCTGTCCAATTTCCCTGTCATCTAACCTTTCCAAACAGTGAATTTGTAATTTGTTCTAAATGAACATTAGTCCCATAATAAAATTATTTTCATTCATTTATTCAACCACTTTCCTCTGTTATGGAAACATTCCACTGTCATCCTTTTCCCAAAACCAAACAAAACTCCCAACAGCTTCATATCCTATTGAACAATTAGGTTACTCCAAATTCTTTCAAAAATCTTTGAAAAGATCCTTTTGAAACGAACCCTACCCGTTATAGAATCCTAAAATCTTCCTTCTTATCAGTTCGGTTTTCGCACTCAACATTCAACTATTCAACAAGGCCTTAGAGTTGTTGATCATATTTCATCAGCCTTAGAAAACAAGGAATACTGTTCAGGTGCATTTCTGGACAAAGCAAAGGAATTTGACCGGGTATGGCACGCCGGATTGCTCTTCAAGCTTAAAATCCATTTACCTCAGTCCTTGTACCTAATCCTCCGATCCTATTTCTCTAATCGCTTCTTTCGAATTCGCTATGGAACATAATTTTCCAACATCTATCCCGGTAAAGCCGGTGTTCCTCAAGGCAGCGTCTTGGGTCCCGTGCTTTGTATTATCTTTACATCTAAAATCCCTGTTCATCCCGATACATACCTGCAACATTCGCTGACGACACCGCATTTTAATCATCCAACTCTGATCCCGGAATGGCATCCTTAAATCTGCAAAGGCCCATCTCCTTGATTCAACTTTCAAAATTTCATCAGAACCTTACAAAGCATCCAAATCCTACCTAATCAAATCAAATCACTATCTAGCTCCACCCATCCCTACAATACTCCTCGAAGATGGAGATTGCAGTGGCCCAGAGACCTTTTGCGAGTAAGCATATATTGGAGTTTGGCAATGGCCAGATTCTTCACTCAAGCCATGTATGTGTAATTATAGCGCCTCTGCTCATCCTCTACTGGTCCTTAATACCAGTAGAGTGAGAGGCGCTGGGATCTCCTAGATTCCTGCCTTTCCTTCGAAGAGTTCTCCTGCGTGAATGGATTCTGTAAATATTGTATAAATGTATGCTCGTGGTTAAGTTGTTATTTTGATTAGTTTAGTTTAGTTCCTTTTGTTTATATAAATTTACTTTTATTTTTCTATATTATTTATTTTCATTTATTGTAAATAGAATATGAATGTGCTATCTAAACACTATTATAAATGTCCTTAATTGTGACCGATTGTAATATTTCTTAATAAAAAAGTTCTAAAAAAAATGTTATAAACGGAAAATTGCTCACTACTTAACCATTTTTCAAAGTGAATCATAATATTCCTTTATGGTGATCTAAATATTGACAGTAATACTGTTTACTGTTAATCCATTGTTATGACCCTAATAAGCAAATCGGTACAATAATTATGTTATTTTTGGTTTTTGGGAGTGAAAAGCATAAATCTATGGCTTACAAATTTTAATACAGGCATGCAGTGAATATATTCAATTTGAAGCAATATCTTGTTTATCAACAGTAAAAAAAAAACACAATAAAAACTCAATCATATAGTTATTGGATATCGATTTCTAACTCAAATTTACTGGTAACAGTTTACCACCTTTTGTTAACATTTATTGATACATAAGGAATGTTAAGTAGTATAAATAAATACAGTAGCAACTAGATACATATATTGGTGATTCAAATAAAATTCCTATTCTATATTATTGTTCACTAATATTGTCAAGTTAGCTGAGGCCTAAAGAATGACTATTACCTTCCAATAGAATGACTCGTTGAAATGTAAACGAAATAACGATTGGTAGTGAATAACGTGAAGAATGATAGAAATTTATTTACTAACTTTGTAAATTGTAAAAAATAAAATATTTTTCAATTATTTGTGTTATTATTATGTAAAATAGGAATTTTGAAAAATCTCCAAAGTATTATACAGGGTGTATCATAAGTAGATGATAAATATGCGAAGTTTTGATTGAGTTCAAACAAATTTATATTCATCAAATCTCCATATTAGTTTATTTATGAGAAAATGAACATGTTTATTTTTCCTCAAATATAATGTTTTTTTAAAAAATAAAAACAATAATATATTATTTTTATTTAACTATCCACTACGGGTGTTTCCGATAGTGTGTTATTAGGCATTAATGCATTAATAACACACTACTACTAGTTAACATGATGTGAACAGTTCTGTTCTATCTTCTTCTTGTTTCGGCCTAGGCTGTCGGACTATACACAGTGCATGAGTTTCCGTTTTACGGTCTATGACTTGGTAGAGTGTATTTAACAATTCTTTAAATTACAATAGGGGAAAGATTATATCCCAATGAATTCCGAAATATATTTGCATACTATGAATAAGTATATATAAATATTAACTTATAAAAAGAGATAGAGAATGGGACAACGAAAAGTACGAGAGTTAAGTTTTTAACAGTTCTTCAGAAAAAGAAAAAAAAAATCGGGAAAAGAGTATAATGTTATTGAAAAATAATTTTGCTTTATTAGGAATTAAAACAATATTATAAATTATCTTGAAGAGCAAATATCATATTTCAATTCAAGTCATTTACCTCAAGTAATGAATTGTCTGACGAACAGAAAAGAACGAAAAGTAAATTCGGTTAATGGCCTAGCCAGTCTTCAAGACAGAGGGGGAGGGATCGGGGCGCCCTGCATCAAGTAAACAAAATTTTTAAATTTTTGGAATAATTTTATATTGTATGCTCCACATGTCATCCTAAACAAAACAAGACACTCATTCCCTCTAAATGGAAACAAGAAACAATCCTGCATCAACTGGAGAAATAGTTCAATAATGTTATTAACGGTATCATTAAATACATAAAGAACTGACAACTGGAGCATAGAGGAATATGAACCAGATTCATGTGGTTCAATTAGATCTGTGAAACATAGGGTGTATATGGATTATATGGTAACTGTTCGGTCAATAAACACTTTTATTTATTATGACCCTGATTTCTGGTATTAAAAACAAATTAATCGAATTCAGATGGTTTATATAACTGATTTTTGAAGTAATTTAACTAGATAAATTTAAAAAAAATATATGTATTTGAAATCAAAGCGAAAAATTGAAGAATTCAGATACGATGACCTATATTAACCAGTTGCTACTGTGATTTGATTCACCATCACTACTGTGCCAATAAATGATCAATTAAAACAATGAATAGTGTGATTAAACAATATACATAAATTTTCAAAATTTAGTACAATTATAGTGGAATATTTATGACTGAATTTACTTAATATTAATATTTAGATTTCTAAAATAGTTAATGAATTTTAGTGTCATTGTTAGTTGAATAAATCACTCATTATTTTCTGCTATTTAATAGATGCAGAAAAATAATAAACTAGGTAATTCTATGTTGATTTGTATGAGTTTTAAAAACATCAAAAATAATTAGGAACAAAAGTAATTAGAACATCTATTAGAAAATTTGTGTAAGCAGTTACTATCCTTATAAATTAATCGTATGATGATTATGTAAGAAGCATTAGTAAAATCAATGAATTAATGTTTTCAAAATATATATCACTTTTTTTTTTCTTTTTTTTTTACTCACTGTCGAAATTAAGGCTAATCGTCGCATTACTTTCCCCGAGCTCATTTTTCGCCATGACTTTGTACTTTCCAGCATCTTCAACGGTTACGTTTTCTATTTCTAAAGTTGCAAAATATGAGTGACCATCGCTCTCCACTCGCAGCTAAAATAATTAAAATACACTTTATTCTTTCTTAAATTAATTATTTTAATTCGCACAATATTTATAAACAAAATATTTGATACAAAGTTCATAATATGTTTAAGATGTTTCAGTTTCAAAAAATTGATATTTTATTGAATATATTGTATACAATTATTAAATTTACTTTCCATACGTAGCTTGGTTGTGACTCTAATAAGAGTTAATATTAGACAAATTTTGAGCTTACATCCCACGATTTTATTTATTTTATTTTTACATATAGTAGAACGTTCCGGCAAATAGCCATCTACAGCACCTCTGAAAAAATAAACATTTATTGAATTAACTAAACTTTAGCATTAAATTTAGAATAAGCTTTCCAGTTAGTATCCTATTCAATTGTCTACTTATTTAAACTTAATCCACATTCCTAAAACACCAACAATTTTCTTTGTTGAGTCAATTTTATTTTTCAAAGGACAATTGTCGCTTTTTTAAATTCGTAATTTATAAAAATTCGCGAGTATAATAATACTAGCGAATTTTTATAAATTAATAATTCAATAATTCTATCGAACATTCCTAACATTGACTATATCACAATTATATTTTTTAAATACTAGGGTGTATCCCCTGTCTACCAACTCCCATTATACAAATTACACAAATGAAAAATGTGTATGAAAGATAGAAATTGATAATGGAAACAATAGTTGAAAACTTACATTCTGAACAGTTAGGAAAAAAATGTTATCTGAATGATGGGATTAGGGCGCAGTTTCTAGAAACCCGCACGGCGCACAGTGTAATGTCTAATGGACAAAAACCTGAATTTTTATTTTCTTATATTTAACTTTAAATAATCTAGTTACGTTGGGAAACTATTCAAGGAATTAGAAACGTACAAAACCAATAAATATTATTTTTATTTTGATCAACAAACACATTAGCAGTATTGTAAACAAGGCAAAGTCTTCAAAATCTGTTTCACACCAAAAATCAGTTTAAACCTCTTTCGTTGAAGATAGAACAGTGTTTTTATTAAGTGATCCGAAAAAAAAAACACGTCAAAACTGTTCCTTTTTTATCTGATATAATTTATTATGGATAAGTACACGCTTATTATTTATCCTGTATCCAGCAAAAAACTTAGCAAAACATCTTCCCAATTTTTTAGAGCATAATGTTTACATCAACTATAATGTACTGAGGGCAATTTAATTTGTCGAAATTTGCCAATTCCAACGATTTTTATTTTTTATTTTCAGATCCATCACATATTACAAATTTTTCTTTCTTACAAATTTGGAAAAATGTATCTAAGAAACGGAATTAATCTTTGAGTAAATACTGAGTCAATTTGATCTGCACGATGCTCATAAAGAAATATTGAGCAATATTAGAAAGACTGCCAGTTTACTCTCATTTAAAATGTCAAAAATGGAACATGTTCACCGCACAGAAAAAAACATTCTTAACCTTATATAAAGACTGGTTGGAACAAGATATCAATTTAGAAGAAATTGTTATAAATTATTATCAAGAAAAGGGCAATTCATGACCTGATTGTTCTTTCGGCTTACTTGGAGGCAGACCTAAGAAAGAGTTTGCAGCGTTGTGTGAGAAAGATATTATGACAATGCTTCTTCTGACATCTGACCCAGAGCTTGATTTATGGAGAAAAAATGTAAAAAGGCAAAGCAAAATCAGCCCAGACATTAATGAATGTATAATAGAGATTATATATTCGTATATAATAGAGATTATTACAATTATCATATAGACATTGGGTTCGATATGAGTTTGAATTCTGACGTATCCACAAACAGACACAAAAAAAATTATTTAATAATTTCATAGAAAATGATAAATACTATTATTCTATGGCTATATTACTATAAGTATAATTTACTAGTTTATTATTATTACATTATACGTTACAGTTATATTTTATAATATATTGTTATTCCTGATATTATTACATCCCATATTATTTCTATTAATATTATAATTAATATTATTATAGTTGAATAATATACATTATTATACTATTGTTACCTTGTTTTGAGTTAAAACCAATTAATAAAAATGTTTATTTGAAAATAACTAGGGGTTAATGATTTTTGTCCATTACACCCAGTACTTGGTTACACTGTGCGGCGGCGTTATAAAATTATATCAAAACTTTTTATATAATTGAGATTTATTTACCTTTTAGTTTAAAAGAAAAAAATATATTTCAATTAAAATGTCCTGTATTCCATTAATAATTTATTGTAATGATATAACATAATTAAGTTAACGTAATTAAAAGATGGAGGGTGAGGAATTGTTTGGAATTCATAATATTTTCAGTTTATCCGAAATTACATTTTACTGACTCATTTTTGGGTTTTTATTTTTATCTATAATTTAAGGGACTATTCTCAGTAATGCAAGGAAAACAATGTTTGGCTAATTATCGAAACGTTTTACTATATATGATTTAAAGTAAAGGAAATAAAATTGGGGAACGAAGGATCAAAATTCGTCTATTATTAAAAATTAAATTTAGTGTTGAAATACAAATGGAAAAGTATGAATACAATGTTCAAAGGTGAAGTAGGTGTGGTTTTTATGAATAACTGAAAAGAAATTCAATGGATAGACAAAATCTTGAAACTGTGTATTATTCTATTACTATGTGTATTGAAACTGTATTACAAATCTAATACTAAATATTTAACTTTATGCGGTAACTTTTAGTGATAATGAAATCAAACATAGTAAAAACATTACAGTTTTGAAGATCCTTCTGATATCTCTGAACCCTTATATAGTCATTCTTACATGGAATTAAGCCTAAGCTTGCTGTTTTAAGTAAGTCAACCTCCATGGGCACATCCAGAGAGGGTAAGATGAGAGATCTGTCCCCTTTCCAACGTGGAATTTTTAAAAATAAATTTGTGAAAATTTTATTAACAACAATAGTTAGGATATTAGAGTTCATGCATTGTGACAGAGACTGATTAAGAAATAAAAACCAATTTCCCCACATTTAAATTAATCGTCACATTAAATAATTGCCCCAAACTGATTCCAATCTTGGGAACCTTCTCTTCATCTTCTTCTAGCTTATGTTACCACTAGTTGCTAGGAACTCCTGATGTAGACATTTTGATGTAATAAACTAAGTTAATGATCATTTTGTTCATACATGGGTTACCTGCTAAGTACTGAACAAAATAAACATATAAAAACATAAAAATAACAAATTTCTTGAGTAAGCGAAAGTTGGAACCTATCTTACGTTAAATTATACAGGGACGGAGAAAGTTCGGCGATCAAAATTTTTTTTGGGGAGAGGTGACACATTTTTACAAGATTTTTAATTATTGAGGATGGAGAGGGGGGGAGTACACGTTGACGCAATTATTATTTTTTATAGGTACGACATTTTTGTGGGGTTTCAATCGAGAAACAAAGGGAAAATGGGGTCAATCACAACAAGTGTGTTTGTATACGATAAACAATTTTGTTAATTTTAATTTCACTTGCACTATTTTTAAGAAGGAAAGGGCAATAAACTTTCTTGGGAGGGGACTTCATGATTCCATCCACGTTGGGAGGGAGATGGGAACCCCTGAAGCGATAATACAAGAATGTAAAAAATGTGTATTAATGCTTGATTGTTATTGAAGCTCAGGTGGATAAAGTATGTCACCCACTGTTACCTTCATTAGATCAAGATGTCAATACTGGATAATAAGGTACTTAACATGCAGAGAAGACATAAAGATGGAATAGTGATCAAAGTATACGATTCAAATAGAATAAATTGTAAGATAACACATATTAGGTATGAGACCAAATGGCTTAGGTTTGATTGATGTATGAACTTTTTGTCCGTTTTGTCTTATAAAAGTAATATCGATTACCACCTACAACACAGAGCTTACTAAAATATTGCGCATAAACTAAATTGATGTTGTGAGGCTCAGAAGATGGAACAAACATCATTACTTTTTATCATTTTTTGAGATTAGAGATCAGTGCCGGTCTTAAGTTGGGGCAACTGGGGCCATTGCCCCGGAACGCCGACCTGATGGGGCTCCCGTGGGGGGATCGTGTAAACCGAATACATTTTGCAAAAGGTATCCATATTTTTTATTTTTTGGAGTTTCCACTAATGGGTTTCCTTAACCTAAACCTTGGATGGCTTCTTTCCATAATATCCTATCTAAGGTCCATTCTTTCCGTAGACCATGACCCATCATGGATTCCCCCACTTCGTTATCCCAGGTCTTCCTAGTCTTCTTCTTTCCCTAGTTTTCCATAAGTGGACTTATTTGGGTAGTCTTCCTTCTGGCATTCTTTTTAAATGGCCATACCAGTTCAGGCATTTTATTTCAATCTCTTCCAGAATGATTCTTTTAGCCTCCATCTTTTCTCTGATGGTCGTATTTCTGACTTTATCCATTCTGGATATTCCCACCGCTCGTCTCCAGTAGTCCATTTCGGTGGCTAGAAGTTTCTTCCTGAGGTTGCTTTTTATGGTCCAAGTTTCTGACCCATATGTCATAATGCTCAGTACTATACTATTGTAGATTTTTTGTTTTTTTTTGTTTTGAGGATAATGTTCCGGTACCATAATAACGGGGTGAGCATTGATATGGTCTTTTTGCCATCTGAAATGTTTCTTTTAATTTCCACATTACATGCACCATCTATTTCAATTATGGAATCAAGATATTTAAAATGTTTAATTCTTTTTAGAACCCCTCCTGGATTCAGTTCTATATCCTCATTATTGAATGTCATGTATTCTGTTTTCTCTGCATTAATAACTAGTCCCCACTGCTGATATTCCTCATTTAATATTCCTAATATGATATTCCTCATATTTTTGTTAATTTTCCCACATAAAATTATCAAAAATGTATTTATTAACAACTTATTTTTGATCTATAATCTTTGCAATCGGATAGAAAAAATAAACAAGTAAAAAAAAATTAATAATTATATATTAACTATATATATATTAACACACTCTTGCTTTCATTCATGAAATATGTTTTTGGATTTATGGTTTAAATATTCTGTGATGATACTGTATACTGTGAACATTCTGAATCAACTAAGGATGATTATCAACTCCTTACCTTGTGCCTTGCATCGTCTTTCACTTCAACCCCACTGTGTGACCAGACGACGGAAGGACGGGGGTCCGCTTGGATACGGCATTCAAATAATAATCGTTTTCCATCTTCTTCTTGCCGGATGGTTGGTTTTTTCGAAAACGTAGGTGCGATTCCATCGATTTGCCTGTGAACAATAGACATTTCATGAAGTTCACACAACTATTTAATATGTAAAATTAAAATATTGTTTGTTTGATTAATTTTATATATAATGAATTAGTTTTATAAAAAAGATTTGAAGAGAAAGAAGAGAAGAGGTATGAAGATAAATAACTTTTTCTCGAAGTTGTGTGTGGTCAAAATGCTTAACGCAAGATTAAGTTATTTAAAAAAATTAAAAAAGAAAATGAATGCTAAATATTCTAAACGAATTTATATTAAGGTTCCGCATATTAGTAAAAGAGGCGGAAGCTATAGAAAGAACAATAAATTTATAAATAAGCCATAGTGATTAAATTATACAATCTATTATTTAAATAAGTAAACTTATTGTTTACAATGTAATTCTTAAATTTAATTTTTGACATGCGCTAGAATACAATAGACTACCGTCACATCGTCTCTTAGACATATTTACTTTTTATCAGGAAATTGGTGTTATATTTTTAATAAAATTGTAACTGTATATGAGCTAAACACCTGAACTATAATATGTACTAATGCCATAGTGAGTACTGTTGTTATTTATTGTGTACAGTTATGTGAAGTGAAGCTGGTGTATAGAGCCCTGTTCTCTAATCTCACAGCCTATAAGTACCTGGCCCAACCTAGTCAGTTGGTCCAGGGCCATCACTGGAAGAGGTAGGTTTTTTAGTGACGCAGATATAAAATCAAGGTCACGCAGTGTGTTTTAATTTTTTTTTCTTCCTTCACTTTCTGATATGTTATGAGTTACTACCACCAACTCATGTCTTTTAAGGTAGCAACAACGAGGTCTCGCTCTGTCAGATCTACACCACGTTCATCACCGAATCTGCGACTCCACCTACAGCAACAGATGATATTCAACCTCAAATGGATACATCTCAGGAGACGACTGAGGAGTCTCCCCTTTTCACCCCTAATCCTTACGAGGACTTGAAAATTCCGCTAAAGAGAAAAGAAGTCAGAAATTAATGGTGCCAAAGAAAAATTTACAACATCAACAGTTTTTGAAAGTATAAACAGTAATACCTTTAACAGTAAGATTAACAATTTACAAAAGACTAACTTGCCACAGCATATTCATATCTTATTTAAGGAAAAACGCAGAGCAAGATAGAAGTGTCATAGAACTTGATATCGAGCAGATAAAATTCATTACACCCAATTTACTAACAAACTAAAATCAGAAATTAGAAAATAAAAAATTCAAAATTTACTAAATTTGATTGAAAAACTTACAACTACCGACAAATCACTGTGGACGACGACTAAACGGCTCCTGAAATTTAAAACGCTTAAAAGACTTTAATCATCCACTTCTTACTGAAGCTCAAACTTGGTCCAAATCTGATGAAGAAAAATCTCAAAATTTTGCTCATCACCTCTTCAAAACTTTTAATCCACATCCTAATATCCTTAATCCAAATCAGCTTGAATGTATTGAAACAGAACTGGATTTTCAACTCCAAATGACTCCTCCTCCTAAAGCATTTCATCCTTCAGAAATATCCAATATTATTCACAGATTATCCTCCCGCAAAGCTCATGGCCACGACCTAATTACATCCCATATTCTTAAACCACTTCCTCGAAAAGCCATTTTTCTGACACTTGGAAACTATCTGTAGTCAAAATGATACATAAACCCAAAAAGCCAACCAGAATACCCACCGTCCTCTTACCGTCCGATCTCTCTTTTACCCACCATGGGCAAAATTCTGGAGAAGCTCATCCGTATTCTATCCTAGATTCTAACCACATAATCCCTGATCACCAATTTGGATTCCGCACATCCCCTTCCACTATCCAGCAATGTCGTCGTGTGGTAGACGTTATCTCCTCTGCATTGGAGCGCGGAATGTATTGCACTGGAGTTTTTCACGACGTTGAACAGGCGTTTGATCGAGTCTGGCATCCGGGATTGCTTTACAAACTCCGTAAATTCCTTACCCGTACATATTTTCTCATCATCAGTTCCTATCTTACTGATAGACACTTCAAAGTAAATCACAATAATACCTATTCATCCCTCTTTTCTCAATCTGCCGGAGTTCCTCAAGGTAGTAAGTATCCTTGGTCCTATCCTTTACACAGTTTATACAGCTGATATCCCAACCCATCCTATCACTGTCATCACTACGTATGCTGAAGACACATGTTTCCTGTCAGTCAATAATGATCCAACAATTGCATCCCAAACTTTTCAATAACACATCACAAACCTTGAAGAATGGTGTCAAAACTGGAGGATTAAAATAAATTCCAATAAATTCCATCAAATCACCTTTACCCTTCGTCATAAACCAATGACTTGCTGTCCTATAGTATCTTTTAATAACACCCCACTTATCTCTGTAGAACAAATCCGATAAGTAGGACTCCAGCTGGACAAACGTCTCACTTGGAATCCTCATACAAGACTGAAACGACAAGAAACTGCTCGACGTTTCCGCTTACTCCAACACTTACTGGACTAACGCTCTAAACTTCCAATTAATTACAAACGACTCATATACACGACTATAATAAGACCTATTTGGACTTATGGAGTTGAGCTATGGGGCTCCACTAAACCATCAAATTCCTCTCGTATCCAATCTTTACAATCCAAAATCCTTCGTAAAATCCTCAATGCTCCTTACTTTGTCACAAATAAAGTAATCCATAAAGACCTCAATGTTCCATATGTTTCCGATTTGGCCAAATCCAGATACCTATCCTTCCATAATAAACTTCATAACCATCCGAATCCTCTTGTTTCTAACCTTACTTCCTCTTCGATTCCTGATAACCCTCCGAGGCGTCTGAAAAGATGATGGCCTCGTGATCTCGTCATATAGACAAATTTTTAGAGTGCTACCAATGGGTAGTTTCTCAACAAGCGTGTTTCATGTGATTATATTCCTCTGTACACATTTACTTGATGTATTCATACTAATACAGTTGTAAATATCATAATAGAAGTTAAAAAAAAAAAATCCTTACGAGGTAATGCAAAATGAAAAAGAGGCTATGGAATCTGCACCCATTCCCCGAAACGCCAGATCTCCTTCAATTTTCGTTAAAAATTAAAAAAATTCCATTTACAATGTACACAATTAAAAAAAATCACAACTCCTGGTAGCTATTCCTACCTAAGCCGCACTAACGATATTAAAATATCCCCAGGCACAGCTAATGCATACCGGCAAATCATTAAATATCTATCAGACACATAGGCAGATTTTCACTGCTACCAATTGAGGCAAGAGCATTCCCTGAGGGTAGTAATCCGAAATTTACACCCCTCTACTCCAGTCGAGGCGTCCAAGAAGAATTGACGGCCCTAGGTTTCAAAGTCCAACAGATCACCAATGTTATGAAGGATGACAGAGACGTATCTGAAGCGAATAGTAAGATAGCCTTACCTATATTTTTCATCGATTTAGAACCCTCAGCAGAAGTCGATAAAATATGTACAATCAAAAATATTAAACATCACCTAATTTTTTGTATAATACAAGTTGAGGGGAATCTTAATTTTGTCCCTAATAAACCTCAACTTAATTAATATGGGCTTAAAGCTCATTAAACGAAAATGTTTTTATAAAAATGTGGTAGCTGTTGTATAGTTGGAGGGAGAAAAAAAAATTCACGAATAATTTTTGTTTTTTTATAAAAACTGGACTTAAATTTATCCGTTCATAATGCCTGTTTAAATGATTTTAACATTGACAAATTCAACTTTCCTCTAGAGGAAATTCTGTCTAGTTTACAAGTAATTGGTTATTAAACATTCATTTAGTTATCGCTTCATATCCAACTGAAAACGTGACTTATAAAAACACAAAACTTAAATTTCCTATTTTTCTGCTGATGGCAAGTGAGTCTGTTGTGAACTATTAACTTTACTGTTAATGGTTGTTTTTACTGTATGTTGCTAATGATTTAAGTTTGTCTATGGCACCATCAATATCTTGTTTTGTTTTCAGCGGAATTTTCAAGTCTTTGTTAGTCTCATTGTTAGCAGAGGACAGTACTCCCGCACGCAGACAGATAAGCCTAAATTTTTTTTTTTTGTTTGTTGTTTTTTTGTTTATAATTATACAGAAGAACTTTTTTTACTTATACTTAGAATAATTTATATATGTATATGTATATATGTATATATATATATATATATATATATATATATATATATATATATATATATATATATATATAAAGGACAAATAAAAGAAACTAGCCCCGTAGCTAAAAGAAAAAGACCTCGGGGCCGAATTAAAAGTCCGCCGGATAAATTAATCCAAATTAATAATAAAATATCTTAAATGGGTGCAATAAATCTTTTGCTGAAATAACTAAAGAAAAACTAAATAATGCTGATAAAAAGGAAATGGGTACTCAAGTCGGTATCCCATCTATTTTACAAATCATCGAGAAATTCGTCCCAGTTTACTCGTGCTGTAATCAATTTAGGGTGTGAGGGTTTAGGAGCAAAGTTTCAATGTAGTAAAAACGGAACTGGGCTATGATCGGAAGAAAGGTCATTTAGGGACTTGGTTATGGCTTGGGAGGAGGAAATCTGAAAGGTGATAAATATATCCAGGATATCATGACATTTTTTGAGGAATGTTGGCCAATAAGGAATGTTACACGTGACAGGATGTTATCGCAGGAGTTCGATTTTCGACAACAAGGTTATAGGAAACAAATAACAATTCCTAAAAGGATAGTGAACAACACGAGGCCAACATTTCATTACCAGAACAGTCTAATCATTCAATGTGAATTTTTTTTAGAGACAAATTCCTTATATCATATCAGCCGTCAGTTCTATGACTTAAAGTTAAATGAAGCGTCAAATTTGGTACTTTGATTTAAAGTTTGGTATAGTCTCACTGTTAGCAGAGGACAGTACTCCCGCACGCAGACAGATAAGCCTACCTTATTTTTTTTTGTTTGTTGTTTTTTTGTTTATAATTATACAGAAGAACTTTTTT